CGACCATCATATTCAACCATCCTGAAGGGGTTGGTCGGCTACCAATGGCTGGCCACCGCCCTTCAGGTAACCGGCCGGCCACCTTAGGCCGACCACCCAAGACTAAGAGGTCATTCTCATACCTCCTGGTCGCGCTCTCATCTAGACAGCGGGGGCCAACCTGATGGCAAAATTAAAAATAATGGTATCTTCAATAGAGGAGACATCAGGAGGTGACTTCAGGTAACCGGCCGGCCACCTTAGGCCGACCACGCAAGACTACCAGGTCATTCTCATACCTCCTGGTCGCCCTCTCATCTAGACAGGGGGGGCCAACCTGATGGCAAAATTGAAAATAATGGTATCTTCAATAGAGGAGACATCAGAAGGTGCAAAATAGAACATTCGATTGTGGCCACCAAACTGAAGGTCTAGGGAGTTCTCTTGGGTGTCATCCATACACTGAAGAAAAAAATAAAGAAAAAATGAATGAAAAACAGAAGACGAATTAGGAATCAAAAAAGAAAAGACGGGAGGCGCGCTTATGCGCCCCTCAACCCCTATTTATAAAATTCAACGGAAGCCAAGTCCGCCTGCGAAAATCTAGAACATATTATGTCAACACTAAAATTGAGATTTACAAAAAAAAAAAAACATTTTATTTATTATAAAGCATGATTACAAATGAACTTTAGTCCGACAAGAGGTACTTTACAAGTTGGTCCTCGTCCACCTCAGCTAGGACTAACCCTCTTCTAACCAACCTTCTATATAACATTTGACCACCGAGCTTGAATTGATTCACACGGCCGGCCTCAAAGTAAGCCCTCTAAACAAGTGCGTTCTCGCGAAGTTCAACAACCTCTCAACAAAGACCAACTACTTCCCCATGCATCTCCTCCAACCTAGCCCATGAATCTTCGTCTTGTCAGGCCAAAATCTCCTCTAATTTTTTCAAGCGATAAGATAAGGTCCCGGGAGACATCGAAATTTCCTCAAAAGTTTCAACCCATACTTCCTCGGGTTTGTCCGAGCAATTGACTGCATTCTCTATGCTGCCAACAGTGCTCGGGGAACTGGGTTTGCTCTTAAGATCGGATCCCTACCACTAACGCCAGCCAACAATTAACCAACGTAGGAATCCTCATCTATAAAATGAAAAGTCCCTAGTAAACATTAGGTAACTCAACAAAGAATAGAAGAAACAAGGAAAATAATTTACCTAGAGTTTGATTCACTTTTGACCAGGTTGTTTTGCCCATGTCGAATGAGGGAAAGTCGTCTGCTGACCTCTTCTCACCAACAAGGGGGTCATCTCCGTCGACTCGTTGAGTATCGGCCAAAGAGGAAACGTTCGTGGCATCCTATTGAATTCACTCCTTGGAGAGTGTTTTTATCAACGGATCGACTCCTGAACCACCTAGTTCCACCACCCCCCTTGGGCATAATCTTCGTCTGTTCAGGACCTCCACCCTCACTCCTTCGGTCGGTTTTAGCCTCTTGGCCAATTTCTTTTTTGACTTCTTCTCACTGTCATGGAGTAAGGTTCCGACAAGATTAGATCCAAAGGATGAATAACATCATAGCTTTATTAACGCGTTGCAACATAGGGTCGGAACCTTAATCCATGAAAGAACAACAAATGGCGAGCGAGAGCCAAGAAAAGAAACAAACTAAAAGCAATGAATTCACCCCACTTTCACCCAATATATAAGGGTCATGGGCACGAAAATCCAAGGAGTTTATTTATTAAATTAAACAATGACTATTATAAGATTCATTTTACTACATTTAAAAATTTATTTGTTCTTATCATAGTTGTTACGGTCAAAGAACAAGAAAATTTAGGAACTTAATATGTACACTAAAAATTGACATGAACAGATCTGAAATAGCCTGACAGACCAAATCAAATGCTAATGCTCTGCCAAAGAACTCAATGCAGACTGGGTAACCTAGGATCGATTGTTTAAAAACCCTCTCGGCAGACCGAAAGCTGACAATCATGTATAAAAAAAAAATATGAAGATATTTAGCTTTTCAAGCTACCAACCAGAACCCAACTTTCCAACCGGTAGAACGTCCTGGTCAGCCATCAATAGGGGGTTGCCCGACCGGTCGCCGCTTTTCGGTCACCGACCGACCACCTTAGGTTGACCACCCAAGACTAACTAGCCGACCACTAAGATCTGATTGACCACTACATTCAAACCCAAAATATATCCTAAAGTAAGAGTCGCCTGACACTCAGACAAAAATTTTGGCCGACACCATCTCGGCGAAGTGAAAGAAAATTCCATCGAGCGAAGGACCTGGAGACATCAGAAGATGTCAAAATCAGTTATGAATGCGAAAATATGATAATATTTGTAGCCCTCTAATAAAAGGAGAGGTAAAGATATAATTTCTTTCTGAGAAGTCCTCTATCTTCTATAAATGGGGAGTCCAATACATATAAAATGGGGGGTTTTTTGGCTTTTGAATCTATACCCATACTTTTGAAGGAGTTTTTCCTTCTCATCTTTGTAATCTCTCTTTCTATATAAAAAATGAATCATAGAGCCTGAGAATACCTCAGTTTGCCCTCACAGAACACGTATGTGTGCGCTCTTCATCTTTCTCTATCTCTATCTCCTCTCTGATTAATACCACTCTGATCTTTGAGCATTCCTCACAGGACAGCTTTGAATTCAAAAGAAATTGTCCTGCTCAGCTCATGATCTTATCTTCTTATTTTATTGTTATGACACTGATTCTATAACAAAAAATTACCCAAAAGAATACAAACAAATGTCGCTGTATTAATCGAACAACTCTCTACCAAATCCTCCTGCCATAAATTAGAAACTTAAATTCACAAGAAGAAGCCACCATTCTCCCTTCCATGGATCCAAACAATTCCACCCTGTTCTATTTCATTCCCATGAGCTTCTCCAATCCTTCATGGCCACTACATGTGCTGTTCTCGTCATCTCTTCTGCATTTCAGCACGATCCCTCGGCCTGAAGAAATACATCAGAACTTCAGAACACGAACCACAGCGAAGTTTATGAGCCCTCCTCGTCCACACGAGAAAGTCCGCTGGCAGTAGAAGCAGCTTGTAGCATTTGTAGCAGACCACAAATGGCGCGCCGCCTGATACCGGCCGGCAATGGCGAATCCTAGACTCCTCGCAGAGCCTACGGTTTCCATTGCGGCTGGATGAGTTGCTGGTTTGCCTTGAGAAATTTCGAAATAGCGATGAGAATCGATCGGCATCCGATTCAATCTTACCTTCCAAATGTGTCACATTTATGCTGATGCCGGATGCCTGCTTGCCGCAAGTTTTGTTGCTCAGCATTCTGTGTAATTCAATTTTGAGTTCATCGACCTTCTCCATAATTTTCAGTTCATCGTCCGTTTCAGAGAAATGAAATTTCACAACCTGTTCTGGATCATCCTTCGATTTAGAGATCAAAAAGAGATTTTGATTCTCAGAGGATAACAATACGCCCTGTTCTTTTGGTTGGATTGAAACTTTACTGGAATGTTTTTCAGCTACAGATTGTTGTTCTTCTGCATGAGCGCTGTTCTTCATGGAATTATCTCTTCCTGCTTCTTCGGCCGAATCGAAAACTTTTCTGCTTCGAGTTCTTCTGGATACTGCCGGATCCTTCTGAGGAACGAGATCTCGCAGAGGTTCGTCGGATGAAGAGAAACGGGAGCTTCTGGTTCGACTGGATACTGCAAGATGTTTCTGAGTAACGTGATCTCGCCGGAGTTTGTCGGATAAAGAGAAACTTCGATCATAGGGATGAGCGCTTCCGTCCTTCGATCTGAACCCAAATCCAGTTTTAAGCTTTTCATTACAGTCCTCGTTCTTAATATCGTGCTCCAAGGATTCTGTAGATTGTTCTTCCAGTTTATAACTTCCAGAGACAGAAAGAGTCTTCATTCCATTAACTGAAGTTTCTACTTCTTTGAGGTGTTTTACCCCATTAAAGTTGGATTCTTTGGAACTCTTTGATCTTCTTTGTTCCAGATTTTTGGGCTTATGTGAAGCCGAAGAAATCTGCTTCACATAAGCTGCTAATCCATTATCTGTAGAAAAGTTGTCTGAATCCACTTTAGCTGAATTGACAGAAGGAATTGGTCAGTTTTGAATAAATCAGACAAAAAGAAAGCATTTACATGCATACCACATACTTCTAATTTATTTATGTAGCAGAGGCCTAAACTTTCATATTTACATGCAAACCACACAAATCAGATTTTCATGTAAGGTTTATAACCTCGAAGGGTTCTAAATTTAAATATTGAACTTTAGGAGTTCGATATCTAAATACATAAGAATTGTGTGGCATTTATGCAAATTTCCTAAAAATAACATACCATTAAGAATGGCATAACAGCCATGACACTTGGAAAGAGGACTATTTGGAAATTCCTCAAGAACCCTAAGACATTTAGGACATCCAAAAGGAGAAACAGTTGACAGGGTGCTTGCCATGAACTTTCCAGATCAAAGTTTAGCAATGTCTTAGAAAATTGTCATACAAGGTAATCCCTGCAAAATAGAGAATTTTGATGCACTTATGAGTTAAAGTGGAACAGTGAATTACCAATATTCGATTATATTCTCTCCTTACAATATGATATAAGAACTATCAAAATAGCATAACTACTACAGCTATTCTTCTAATAGAATATTTAAAAAAATTCAATCTGGCTTTCAACCAGAACCCAAGGTTTTGCTTCACGGTTTAGGAAACAAATGTAGGAGGATACTTTGATCAATTTTCTTTAGTATAAATAAGAAATTAAAAACACATAATAAACCAATTTTTCTCCATCACCATATCTTTGAACAATCAAACAAAGCTCATAACTCGCTCAAACTAAGCAAGACCATGCAAATGTTAAAAATGGCTACGGTGAAATTTATATAATTTGTAGGAAGAGTTTAAAGTGATGTTTAGATTGTCTGAGTAATGATCAAAAGATTATGATTTTGAGATAAATTTTAAGATGAGTACACTATAAAGAAGCATTCTCAACAGCAACAACGTTGAACACCATCAAGGTATTGCTATCTATTGCTCCATCAAAACATGTGTTCATCCATGGAGAACTTAAAGAATTCTACATAAAAATTTCACCAATGTACACCACTTCACCATGAATAAAGGTAATACTTAAGTTGAAGAAAGTTTTGTATGGCTTGAAGTTGTCTCAGAAAGATTGATTCGGAAGACAGTGGCAATGAGAAAGCATGGTTTCAGACAAAGCAATCTTTCAAATTCTCATTCAAATATCAAAATTCATACTAAAATCTCAACCCATATCTAAAAGACAATGTGACCTAAATAGGAAATGATTCTCCTTTTTTTTTTATTTTTTTATTTTTTTGCAATAATAAGAAAGCCATTAATGTCACATACAATCCCGTTCAACATTATGTTACAAAATATTTAAAGTGGATCGACTTCATCGAGGAAAACTTTTAAGCCAAAACAATCCAATTTTAATTTTGGAAGACCAATTAAAGAATATACTCCAATAAATGTTTTTTATAGCTCCACCTGAGAAGTGTTAACATGAGCTATCAAATAGATACGCAATCTTTGATGCCCCTGAATAAGCCAACAATTTAAGAATTAGATTCCTTCCAACTTGTAGTCTATGTATGATAGACTACATTATCTCTCTTAGAATAACAGGAAGATCAGTTTCTTAGTATCTCTACTGCATCCATTATAAATAGAAAGTGATTTACACTCAATTCTTACGTATTTACATATCTAACACAGACTTCAATTTTACATATATAACACCTTGCATATGCACGCAAAAGGTCATATATAACACCTAGACTTCAATTTTTACATATATAACACCTTGCAAATGCACGAAAAAGGCGTATTTCATTTCTTTAAAGTTAGAGAAGTGGTATTGTTTATGTGATATGAAAGATTTGAATGACATAAATGTAAAAAACAAAGTTTAGGTGTTAGATATATAAGTACAAAGAAATTGAATGGTATAAACATTGTGTGCAACTCTTATTACAATAATAAGCGTAAGCAAAAAAAGAGTGTCAGCTCGAATCTCAAGGCAATCCGACAGCCCAAGAGAAGGACAACATGGCAAAATTATACATTGAAGGTGACTTGGGAGATCAAGGAGGAATCAAGGACTAAAGATCCGACCCTCTCTCCAAACCCACTCTAGCGGTCCATCTTGCTCCTACCAGCCGGTGGCCAAAATCCCACCGGCCTTTTAGTATCCCTCCTGTCGGCCATCTATTGGTCGACCATCCAACTCCTCCCAACCGGCCACCCATTGTTCAGTCAACTGATTCCCTCCGGCCACTTCAAATTCAATTGGATGGAAAGTTCAAATTCAATCGGCTGACCACTTCCCAACAACCGGTCGACTATCTCCCAAAACAATAAACCGCCCATCTTCCAAACAACTGATCAATCATATAATAGTCGATCTACCAGCCGGCTGATGGCCGACCATCAACTGACCACCTTAGTGTCCTCCGCCGACTGATGAGCTTCTGAACTTAAAGTACCGATGACAAAAGATCAAAATATGCTATACTCCCCTCTGTTAAAGTAAGGGTACTATTGTAATTTATTTTTGGTTCTCTTATCTTCTATAAATAGGAGGGTCCTTTCATGTAGAAAAATTTTTGGATCCCCCCACTTGTAACTTGTACTTTTTTTATAGAATAAATGAGTCAACGAGCCCGAGAAAACCCCCTTCACCCACGAGGGGGGCAGGTCCTCGTCTCTTCACCTCCTCTCTCTCTCTTTCCGCTCTCAATCTCCTTTCCTCAATCCCAACACTCTATCTCTTGGGCACGATCTACCGAACATATTTGGATCCAACCATAAGAAAAAAAGAGAACTTTATCTCTTCAAACTTAATTAAACAACTCTTGTTTTATCCTCAACTTAAATTAAATCTAATAACCATAAAAATCACAAACATTAAATTTGAATGACAGCATAAAACTGTCCTCCGCCGACTGATGAGCTTCTGAACTTAAAGCACCAATGACAAAAGATCAAAATATGCTATACTCACCTCTTTTAAAGTGAGGGTAATATTGTAATTTACTTTTGGTTCTCTTATCATCTATAAATAGGAGGGTCCTTTCAAGAAAAAATTTTAGATCCTCCCACTTATAACTTGTACTTTTTTATAGAATAAATGAGTCAACGAGCCCGAGAACCCCCTTCACCCACGAGGGGGCAGGTCCCGTCTCTTCACCTCCTCTCTCTTTCTTCCCGCTCTCAATCTCCTTTCCTCAATCCCAACACTCTATCCCTTGGGCACGGTCTACCGAACATATTTGGATCCAACGATAAGAAAAAGAGAACTTTGTCTCTTCAAACTTAATTAAACAACTCTTGTTTTATCCTCAACTCAAATTAAATCTAATAACCATAAAAATCACAAACATTATATTTGAATGAGAACATTACAACAAGTAGACTAAGTAAAACAAATAAAAGCCTAGACAAGAAATCCCTCTCGATTTCTTGAATAAATACAGGAAGTCAAAGAAAGAGTTCCACACGCGCGCCCTCCGATCACAGCTGCGCGCCCTCCGCACCTAATAATTAGACGTCAAAGAGAGAGTTCCACTGACTTACACTAAGCAGACTCAGTAAAACAAATCTCAATAAACAAACTGCTCATTCAGAAATTGAGAAAAGAGTTTTCAAAGGACAAATTTCTTAATTAAAAAAAGGCAGATTACTAAGCCGATTGCTACAACAACGAAACACCAAAACTCGTTTAATGCCAATCCGGAAGGAAAAACCTAGTGAACTATTTAGGGAAAACATAAAAACGAAGTGATTTTGCTTGAGAATATGCTATCTAACGCCGAAAAACAAAAAAGAAATCAGAAGAATGTAATACAGAACGATTCTCTCGATTGATAAGTTGCTTACAAAATTGAAGAAAACCATTATTGAATCTGAGGTATCATCCTGAGCACGCTTGAATCTTTCCTCCTGTTTATAAGCTGAATGATTGAACGAGAAATAAAGAGACGACGAATTTGGGGCAGCCGGCATGAGGAGGGCATTAGAGATCGACAGGAAAAGTTCAGGAAGGCAGGGAAGGGGGAAGAACTGTTTTTTTTTAATTTGGTAAAAATGAAAAATATGGCCGGGGGTTTATCATGAATTTTGATATTTGAGTGAGAATTTTAAAAATAGGTGAAAGATGATGATTTATTTCTAAACAGCAAGTTTAAGGAATATGTAATTGCACAATTTTAGATATATGATAGCCATTTTAAAATATAATATGGGCATCATGAATTTTGATATTTGAGTGAGAATTTTAAAAGTGGGCGAAAGATGATGATTTATTTCTAAATAGCATGTTTAAGGACTATGTAATTGCACAATTTTAGATATATGATAGTCATTTTAAAATATAATATGGGTAGTAGATTTGTAGAATTGATGGGAAGACTATAGCACATTTTCCGTTGAATGTATCTAACTAGGTGTTTCAGGGATTGATGGTGAATGTGACACGGTTTACACATGTTTTCGAAGGTTTGATTGGCAATAGAGGATATATCAAGGCAGGTTATGATTAAGTTTTATAGTGACACGTGGGTTTCAGGCGGTGGTTGATCTGGTGGAAGCCGTTGAATGTATCTAACTAGGTGTTTCAGGGATTGGTGGTGAAAGTGACACGGTTTACACATGTTTTGGAAGGTTTGATTGGCAATAGAGGATATATCAAGGCGGGTTATGATTAAGTTTTATAGTGATACGTGGGTTTAAGGCGGTGGTTGATCTGGTGGAAGTTTTTTTTACTCGAATGGGTTTATGTGCAAGTTTATAATATGTCATTCATGCACGTTGGAGTGTTTCTTGTGCATAGTGTGATTGACTGAAGTGGAGACTTGTTATGACTCGGGTGAAGGTGATGTCGGGAAACTGATGAATGTCTCCCATGTTTTTTTATATGAAGTTGTTGTTAAAGGGATTGAATGGTGTCAGTTTTGAGGTTGGCTGTTTCTCGTGATGAGGTGATCATCAACATATATGATTATATAGACTTTGTAAGAGTTTAGATAATGTTGAATAGTTGTCTCAAGGCTTATTTGTGCCCATAGAGCGATTTATGAAGAAGACACACGTGATTATGATTAGTTTTTTTTTTATAAATCCTTAGGGTTGTTGGATATATATTTATCTTGAATGTCTTCATATAGAAAGGTGTTGTAGACATCGAGCTGTTTTATGAGCCAAGTTTTCAAAATGGTAGTGGATAGAAAGCACATATTGTAGTCATTTTGACAATTAGGCTTAAGGTTTCAGTGAAATTTATGTTGTATAGTTGTTTGAAGCATTGGGCCATGAGGAGTCCAACATACCAGATAATAAATACATCAAGTTTTAGTTTGGTTTTATAGGTCCATTTGCATCCAAGAGTTTCATTTGGTGGTGGATGAACTAAGTTCTTGGTGTCCTGAATTTGAAGAAACTCCCTACCCACATATTTATGTCATATTTATGTTTAGCAGTTGTGGTATATGAACTAGGATCGAGCGGGTGATGGGTGGTGTGTGTCAGGTCGAAGACTTATTTTGGTTTGAGAATATTTTTTAGGATATGGTTATCATGTGGTGACAGAAGAGTGTAATATTTTGGTCAGATGTATGTATTGATGAACAGTTGTAACAAGATTGAGTAGTACTTCAGAACATTGTTGTGCTTTATCATGGTTCTAATATATTTATAGATTGTGGTGTTGAAAATGCTACGGGAATTGTAGTGGTCATTGTGAGAGATGTAATTGTAGTTTTGGAGATAAAAGCAAAAGTGAAATGTGGAGTGTTTGGTGTTATGGTTAGGTTTGATATTGGGTGGATGTTGTAAGGGTGAAGGAAAAGATCTTCTTGAAAGATTGCATGTTGAGTTATGTACATGCATCCTGCAAGAGGGTGAAAAATTTTATAGCCTTTAGTGTTTTTAGCATGCTTAAGGAAGACACATTTTAAAGTGTTAGGAGTGAGTTTATTTGGGAAGAGGGGTCTTAACTAAGGTTAGCATGCACAACCAGTGGGTTTGAGGTAGTGATAATCATGTTTGTTGTTGTATATTAATTGATATGGTGAGAGATTTTTTTTGTTTGGGTGTGAGGAGGCAATATATTAGGTAAATGACTCTACAAAGAATTTCAAGCCATCCATGGTGTGCCAATGGTTTGAATTAGATATCAGTGTTTATGTTCGATGACCACATTTTGTTGAGCATGGGGCATGTGGTTTCATAGACAACTCTGTGTTTCATGGAGAATGTACAACAATATCTCGAAAACTCATCAATGAAAAAGGCATGATGTTTGTATCCTTTTTCTGAAATTTTTAGGGAGGGATCCCAAACATTGCTGAGGTGCAGTGGTGTTGCGTTGCAAGTGTTAGAACTATAAAATGTTAATTGATGAATTTTTGACAAATTGCAAGAAGTCCAATGTAGTTTGCCACTTGGGATACACATGAAGATTTTATTTTCAAACAATTTTGGATATGTTATAATAAGGAGCCTTCAGGATATGTAATAATATGTAGTGGTTGGTGCCTTAACGTAAATGTGCCAAATGTTAGTATTGTTTGAAGAAGATTATTAGAGCAGCAATTTTGGCTGCAAAAAAAAAAAAAAAATTAAATAAGATTAAAGAAAACTATAATTAGGTAAATTCCTGCATGATTTATAAATTTAAAATAATCTTATCCTTCTTATAATATTAATCAAAAAGTTTAGTTAATTAATTACAATAATTTTATAGAGTTTGATGGTTGTCAAATTCTAGGAATAAGAATTTTTGTAGGCTGGGAAGCTAAAGATAATTGAACTCATCAATTTCATTATCTTATAACTGTGTAACACTGGCAAGATATATTTTTTAAAATTATTTTGATTTTTTATTTTAATAAGTTAAAAAAAGATTTGGCTTTTCTTATTTGTTTGTATTTATTGCAGCTTAAAAAAAAAACAGCAAAAATATTACATCAAGACTCCGCACGTAGAGTTACGCGCGGAGTTCAATGACTCCACGTGCGGAGTCCAATGAAATTACGTCGTGGAGGTGATCGGCCCGCTAACACAAGGAATACTCCCCTCGTGTTATTCATATGTTATTGTATGCTATTCAGGGGTTATTATATTCGGGGAATATTCCCGGTGTTATAATAACACCATAACAAATCAATAATACTTGAATAACACACAATAACACATGAATAACACACAATAACACCTAAATAACACGGGAGGAATATTCTCTTGTGTTACCGAGCAGATTTTTTTTTTTTACGTGGCGTGATTTCATTGGACTCCATACGTAACTCTACGTTCGGAGTGCTGATGTAATATTTTTTCAATAAAGCATGCTTGAAAAGAATATTATAGAAATCAAGATTATTTTTAATTAATCAGCTTAATTCAATCGTAGTTAAATTCTTTTGAAACCGTCATCATTTTTTGTATTACTATAATAAGTAATTAATTAGCCGACTTATATAATTATTAACATTTAAAAAAGGATATACAATCGAGAAAAAAAAGAATAATTTATCAATAATTATACGAGAAAAACTTTAATTTTTATTTAGCTTGAGTAATTAATATATAAACCTAAACAAGAATTAAATATGATTTTTATATTTGTTTCTATATGATAATGAATTAGAAATTTCCACTATTTTCTTATTTACAAAAAAAATAATAAAAATAGCTATTTGATTCGTGAATAAAACTGTAATTTACACATGAACAAATATGTCATTTTCTTAAGTTTAATGTAGAGAGGAAATAAAATAGAATTTATAATCTATGCTCAACAATGCCTGGTCAGCCGCTTAGATGCCTGAGTTACTGATCGATATTGTGTGACATAATCTAAATGTCAACCTGTTGACCCATCTCATGAAGCAGAAGATGAGAACATATGTTGTCATGCTAACCAAATCAGTTCGAGAAGAAGTATTAAAGTTGCAAAAGATAAGCTTCATTCGGGATGTTCAATACTCAGAATGGGTGTCCAACATGGTCATGAGCTAAAAGCTTAATGACAAATGACAAATGTGGGATAATTCTTGCTCTTCTCTCACGCTCTATTTTTTGGGCGTGACCTACAAAAAATTTATGATTCAACACTAGCCTTTATTAATAAGTATATTGATCCGTGATATATTTAGTTAAGAGAGTGAAATTTAATTATAATTTATTACATATTGATACGAAATCAATAAATTTTCATCATCCGACATGAATCCTAAGATATTATACGGATCTCGAGGCAATTTTTTTTTGCAAGAAACATTCAAATTTATTACATATTGATACGAAATCAATAAATTTTCATTGTCCGACATGAATGCCAAGGCATTATACGGATCTCGAGGTTTTTTTTTTTTGCAAGAAACATTCAAATTTTGATTAAAAGTAATCTAGAAGTTCGATTTCAGTGAGCTTATAATCAAACTAATTGACTGGACGAGACAGACCCAATGGTACAAAAATTGATCTGATCCAAGTCCAATTAAGCCTAGATCAAGCTAATAAACAACTTTTGGAAGCTTTACGGGCATAATTAGAAGGTCAAATGGATTTCAATATCATGATTATAGTCAAATTAAGTGTCTCAACAAGATAAATCCAACAAGCCCAATATCGCTTAATTCTAACATTCTTAAGGCATTAAATGTCCATTGAACATCGTTCAACCAAGGGAATCTATCTGGGTTATCTGATCAATAGTGGTCTAAATTCTTTCTTTATTTGTAATATGTACTTTATAAATAGAGCCCTACCCCCTCTCATGAGAAGAGGATCTAGACTCTGAGCAAGAGGGAGTTGCAGCTAAGCATCTTGAATCGCAGATCCAACCATCTCTTGTCATCGCCGCCTTTGATTGTTATCACCTCTTCCGGTCACAGCCGCCCATAGTCGGCCTCCTGCACCTACAGCTGTAGACCACCATCGTCCTCTCACTCATGAATTTGTTGGTTGTGGCCTTCTAGCAGACTCCTTTTGCCCCCGCTTCAGCCAACTCTGACCTCTACCGCCTCCCATAATTGATGCTACCTTCGACCAGCTTCGCCCCGCCGCCGCCAACCAACTCTGATCACAACATACCGAGCACTGAAGGCCATCATCAGCTGTCACCTACTCCTTGCAGCAAACTCCCTTATGATTCACAATTTGTGCTATGAAAACTTAGTGAATGTTGTGGAGTGGCGAAGCACCTCGCATACGGTGTAACAATGTACCCCAGATATGATATAAAAGTGCCTCTAGAAGATAGTTTGACAACACACCCCATCTACAGTGCTACGACACCTCTCGAAGATGGCGTAACAATACACCTTAAAGATAGTGACTTTCTCTGAACTCTTAAAGCTCTCTACACGCAGCTCTCGTCTCTGGCTCTTGTAGCCTACATACTTCATCATAGCTTATCATTATGACCTACGTGAACAACTATAACCTATGTGACTCACAGCTTTTACAGCTCCCAATTTCTGCCTCCGCGGCTTACGGACGGCACCACAGCTCTCCACTACGGCTTACTTAGTTCACAACTCGTGCAGCTCCCAAATCTAGATCATTCGACATACAGACGCATTACAACTCATTACTATAGTATATGTGACCAATCTTGCAGCTCCTAACTCCGACCCCCGTAGTTAAAGGACGTCATCATAACTCGTCATTATGTCTCATGTGACCAACTGCGACCTACGTAGCTCACAGCTTTTGCAGCTCATAATATGGCCTCTATGGCCAAATGATGCTTCCAAAGCAATCGTCTGTGGCCCACATGGCCAGATACTATTATGACTTTGAACTATATTTTATACGTCTAGCTAGCGCTACGAATACTGCCTACAATATTCACAGCAGTGTTATGAAATATATACCAGAGCAGCTGATGTGGTATATATATAAATCAAACAGAAGAACGATCGACAAAGCAAAAAATAGAACGAGAAAAAAATTACACCAGAAAAGAACACACAAATTTACGTGGTTCGGCAAATGGCCTACGTCCACGGAGCTGCATAGGATTTTCCTACTTGAGGAAATTTACACCAGTCGATCACCTCAACTTACAAGAGGAATCTCTCACTTTTCGTTGCTCTCTCTCTTCTTCTCTCTCTGTTCTTTTCTCTCTACACCAAGATATACCGAAGAAAACTCTACACCGAGATACACCGAAGAAGACAAACTTACAAGAGAAATAAACCCAATTTCTCTTCTGCCACAAGCCACCAAGAAAAAACCTAGAGAGAACAATCTTCTTCTTCTTCCTTCTTCTTCCTTCTGCCGCAAGAAACTACTCCTCCTTGCACTTCTTCTATTCCACTGTCTTGTGGAAACTCGAAGAACTCTTCCTCTATCCCAAGGAAACCTAAAGAAGAAAATCGCGACTTCTTGTTAGTTTAGGAAACCTAAAGAAGAAAATCGCGACTTCTTGTTACTTTTCGTAACTTCCACATCTAAAGCAGAGTCGCCCTTTTATAACGAAGAGAAAGGAGCGAAGAAATGCTTTGAGCCGCCCTTTTATAACGAAGAGAAAGGAGCGAAGAGATGCTTCGAAATGCTTTTATTTGCGAAATAGAGGAGGCGGGAACGGTTTCTGGCAAAGGGATGCTTCTCTTCGCAAAAAAGAAAGAAGGGATTGGTTATTTGTGAAGAGGTGTGACCCTTCGTGATCGGAAGCGTCGTTTCGAGAAAACAGAAGGAGAGGCGGGAGCGGGAGTTCGCGAGTTGGGAGAGGAGGATATATTTATAACAAGCAGACCACTGCCTTCAAAGCACTTGACTACTACTCTTGCAACCTACAATCATCGAGAACTACATTCATTACAATCATACTACAACTATTATTGATGAACCCATTGCAATGCATTTACAATGAACATATTTGTAACTCCTTTTTCTCTAATGTATGAGAAGAATGAACATATATCCTCACCATTCATAAAGAATTATTTTAACTGGGTCAGACCCCTTGGCTTATTTCACTTTTCTAAGATTTTTCATGTAAAAATTGTATTGTCTTCTCATGCTTACTTCTCTTTTATTATTTGCGTGTGTGATGAGTTTTCGTGCAATATTAAGATGCTAAATTTATTGTTCTACCACCACGGACCTTCTGACGCACATCAAATATCATTTTTAATTCTAAATTTTCATGATTAACTAAGCCTGCATGAAAACTACATTGATTTGACTATTCAACTGTTAAACTCATCCAACATCCTTTAATGCTGGCATTTAAAAAGAAAATGATTTTTAAACTAAATATTGTACAGCTATCAATGAACCCTTCAGTAAATTGATAATTTTAATATTAATGTGGCCTGGTGGATATTATTATATATTTAATCAAGAAGTCATAAATTTCATTTATATCCGTAATTCACCAAGTCAAACCGTATGAATCGAATTTATTAAATCTCAATGAGGTTAATTAACAATCTAAATAATCATTAAATCGGGGTCTTGAATAGTTAATCTCAATTATTCCATCCAATTAATTAATTACTTCAATATTTTCACTAAACGCCCACTCATTAGCTATTTTCTTTTCCCCTTCTATTTTTTCCTAATTTTTAAGAGTTTAAGAAAATGAATAACTGGATTGTCTATTGTCTCTATTTGCTTAGGAATTTGGCTTTAGTAGGGGTTGGACATGATATTATAGGTATCTGCCCAAAGCTTAACTGCTCTAAGGCTCGGCTGGTTAGACTAGAGAACCCTCGGTGGGCGTTGTCGGTCGGCTAAGCTAGAGAGACCCATCGGTCGCCCTGGTTCGATAAGATGTCAGATGGCTAGGCTTGATAATCTAGGCTAATCGGACTTTTACTGGCAAAGCAACTAAGTTGTATTTATCGGTTAATCAAGTTGGTCTGCTGACCCTCGATCCCTGATAAGAAGCTCTTGTCTGCATGGCAGAGCTAAGTAATTCGGTAGAAGTTGAATTATCATAATTTGATTGGTATTTGCCTCTAAAGTGATGACTTAGAGTTGCACCTTCTTGATGATGTTTTGGAAGATTGCTGAATGCCTCTCAGGGAATTGCAGAACTAGAGGGATTAGCTTTCTCTTCAGGTTATTTTCATCACGAGGAATGGCTTGAATCTCCTTTGCATTTCTTCCAATCAAATTGCTTGTTTGCCTAAGTTAATTTTAGCCATGATGCTTATGATCGGATAATTAGGTCTTCAGGTCTCCTATTGATGGGTCATTTTTTGACAAATCTTGTCCCGAGATTCATGCTGGCACTTTTTCCATATAAAAAATAAATAAATAAATAAATGTTGTTGATAACTAAAATTAATAATAAATGATTGAAGAAACTCCTCCTTTGAACCACAACGTTGAATGCCTGCCTTTTGGACACCTATAATGCTGTTTAAGTGAGATTTATGAACAAATAAAGAACAAAGCCTATATTTATTTATATGCAAGAAAATATATGATTCGATTTAACAAAATTAGTTTTAATGATATTTTTATGTTATTTAAAAATAAGTGTTATATAGCTAAATATATTCAAAATTAGGTATTAGCTATATAAATTCTTAAGGAATCGTATGCTATGGGTTATAAATTTTTTGCTTTAGCTTCTAGAAATAGTGTAAATTAATATGCTTTAGAAAATACTCAAGTTTGTAAAAATAATCATATTTTAATTAAATATACCAAAAATATTTTATATCAAATCAAATCATAAATAAAATAAAATTGATAAGAATTTAAAAATAAAAAGATATAAGTGGTCCCAAATAATCCATTTTTTCTTTTGCCTTTTAAAAGCATATTTATTAAATTATTATTTCCTTTATATATATATATATATATATATATATACACCCCCAACAATATATTTATTTATATATTTACATATAATTAAAACAATCCATCCATAAATATATATTACAGTACTGAAATAGCACTTAAAAACTTCCACCAAAACCCTAATTTCTTCTGCAACTCCAACTGCGCCTCCATGAACACCTTGAATTAAACATCCGTAATCTCCTCGACTGAATCGATAAAACATTTTCTGTAGATTTAGATTCTGTAACCACAACTGCATAACCATCATCCATATAATCTGTTCCTCGAGGAAAAAGCTGCCATAGAAGACAACCTCCTCCTCCTCCTCCTCTCCTGGTGGAGTTCAGAATGTTCTTATAAACCGCATCAATGAACTCATCTCTGAAACTCACACTAAAGTTCTCGTCTTTCGCCGATTCGCCGTACTCGGTGAACAACACCGGCATTCCGAGCGCGTTCTCTGCATCATCGATGTGGCTTTTCATCCATGAATTGGTGAACTGGAGGTGCTCGTCCGGGATCGAATTCGATAGCCTGTGTTATCATATATAACACCCTGATTGAACTAAATAGGTCTGCTTCTGCTAGATAGAAATAATGGCTTAAATGTTACGCATTTTGACTGGCAAAATTGTTTTAAACCAGCATTTTAGGAGAGAAAACAACTCGCCACTCAAGATGGGACTTGTTTTAATTTTTTAGATGAATTCTTAAAAAAGAATCACGATTTCTTCTCACTTCTTTCGTAATATCTCTCCAGATTATAGAGCGTTATTTACGTACGTCATACACATACTGTTCTGCGGGTGTATGACCCCGAATAACCTTACAATAACTCAGTTATTGGGGGGTTATTAATAGGTTATTGGGGGTATTAACCCAATCATATCTCAATAACCTCCTAATAGCCTACTAATATATTCCGCGGTTTGACTTTTATCTTTTTTTTGTTATTCAAGGGTTTTGTGAGGTTATTGAGAGTAATAACCTCAATAACAACGACATAACCCTCTAATACCCTCCAAATAACCTTTATACGAACGCAGAATTACGTGCGTATGACGTACATTAATATTTTTCCTTGATTATGTGTTCACGAATTACAAAGTATCGTATATAAAAAGTGACGTTCTGGTGTTAGTTATGTAAAATCATAGAAATTGAACGGTATTTTACAAATTTTAAAAATCTTTTTTTTCCAAAATGCTGTTTTTTTTTAAAGGGTTTTTTTGAAGTGACGAATTTAAAATTTTTCTGGATAGCATACCAAGCGTCCGGGTAGATGTGAGCTGTGGCAAAGTCGACCGCTGGAGCTCGGTGGTTGCGGATGAAATCAGTGCCGACTTCGCCGGCGAAGGCGTTGGGATTGAGTTGAAGACGATTGGGCGTCGAGTGTCCGTAGAAGCCTTCGAGTCCCACCTCCAGCAGGTGCTTCGGGTCAATCGATTTTACATACATTGCCATTTCTTCTATCCATGACTGAACGTAAATTTTCATCATCTCATCAGTACGTGCGCAGTAGTGAATGGATTAAGGTAGAAGAATTGGTGACCTGTAGAGTGTTGCCGGAGGGATCTGTCGGGCAGCGAGGTTCGTTCATGAGTTCCCATGCAAAGATTGTTGGGTCTTCTTTGTATGGGGTGTTGCTGATGGTGTTGATTCTGTTGAGAATCGTCTGATCACATGAAAGTGAAATTATGATTTGTGCATTTCAAATTGAGATATATCATTAAAACGTACTTATGTAATTCTTGCATATTTACATATCTAGCATCTAAACATTCATATTTACGTGCATATCACTCAAATTTTTAAGATCACATCAAAAATTTCACAATTACAACCGTTTTTTAAATTAAATTACATTTGTTTGCTTCATGCATAAGTTTATGGCACGAAAATGTTGAAGTGTAAAAATCAAACGTTTGTGGTATGTAAATACAAAAGAATTATGAGGTATGTCCGTGAATTTCCCATTAATTATATTTTTACCTTGATATGATTTTTGTAGTAGCCTTTGACAGTGGGATCAGTGAAGAAGTCATCATCAGAAGTAAGATTCAAACCTGCAGCTCTTCCCCACTTCACATACTGTGCCTTTCCTCCATAATCTTTCCAATTGTTTGTTAAGGATAATATTAACCTAATATTATGCTTCTTCGCTTCACTAACCACGAAATCAAGCGCCTAATTAAGTGATAAAAAATAAAATCAAGTAATTAGTTTATTTCATAAGAAATCATTATTTTTAATCAGTGCTTATAAAATAGCAACTAATGAAGAAGATTTTAAATCTTGTAATTTATTTTATAGAAAGTGTTATGCAGCTGTTAAATAACGACTTTTTATCAAAAAAAAAATATATTTTTTAAATTTGCTTTGATTTTATTGAAAATTTACATTCAAGTCAAAAGCCTTATCTTTAGATAAAGGTGTTTTATATTAAATGAACTCTAGAAGCCTTAAGGTCCGTTTGGGGCAGCTTATAAGTAAGAGCGGCGTTTTCAAAACTCCGCCGCACCTTTTGATTCGCATAAGTGCGGGCGGCGTTTTCAAAACTCCGCCGTACCTTTTGATTCGCGCTTTTGATTCGCATGTTTCGCCGGCTTATCCGAAACTACGTTTCGTTTTTTACACTAAACGCAGACTGCGAGTCGACCCTTGCGGCCGGCCCACGGGCCGCGTTTCAGGATAAGCAGCTTATCCTGAAACAAACAAGCTGCCCAAAACGGACCCAGACTACCCTTAATTATGTTTTTTATTTCTTATAAATATGATGGATAAAAATATGGCAATTTAACAATATATTTAATTTAGAGAATTTATAATTAGGGGTTTCAATGTTATCATCAGTTTGAATGATTTAATTTACTAATTAGCCTGCAAATTCATTAGCTTCAGTTGTAAAATTCAAAAAAAAAAGAAAAAAAAAAGATCCAATCAATTTTTTTTCAATGCAAATTAAACCAAGTCATATTTAATTTTATTTGCACCGTTTAATTCTGGATGAATCAAACCATAATTAACTTTACCAATCAATTTAATTATTTATAACTTAAATAAATTAATTAATTTTAAAAAAGTATATAGTATTTTTTTGTTAAAATTTACAAAATTGGCTTATTAAATTATAATATTTATGTTAATCTTTATGTCCCATATTTATTTAGATAATTTTATTGATTTATTACAAGAAAAATTATATATATTGATATATAATTAATTAATTAAAAAAATTAATAACCAAATTTATATAATATTAAAATTACGGCCAATAGTCAGCACAAATCAACTAAGATTAATTCGGTTCAATTTAATTTTTTTTATCCAAATAATAAACACTCTTATTGTAAATTAATAAAAATACTAGGAAAATTTCTACACGTTTTATTTAGTATTACTTATCACTAAAGTTATCTTAATTCAGATCTATGTCGGGCAGCATGTAGCAATACTTGTATTAAATAATAATTTAACATAATGCATATGTTCCTCTTTGGATGCTCATTGATGATTGCTCATAGAAAACAACCTCGACAAAATTGATGTTACAATTTGATGGAAACAGATCTAATAAATATTCAGCAAGTTAAATTGTAACATCTAATGTGGCCCTAGCTAGCTCACCTCTTTTATAATTGGACAATACATCTCATATTAGATAAAACAATCGGTATCATATATATATTAATCATGATTCAGCCTAATGATTCAATCATGAATGCCAAAATTGAATCAAATCTCGTGGTTGTGTTAGTCGGATCAAAACTAGTCCTCAAAATAACTCAATCTTGTCAAAATATGCAACTTATTAGACAAATATGTGTAACTCATAAAAGCCAACGATTGAAGTAGATGTAGTAGAAATTATAAATTAAAAATGACATTGAAATGTAATTTTTTAAACCTTATATAAATATAAATATATATACTAGTTGTGATATGATATATTAGTGATCAGTATATATTAAAAAAGATATTAATAAAACCTTAAAAACATTTTCATCATAAATAGAAGGAGATATCTGCAGCGCTCCAGGTCCGCCATCACTGAAGGCCCAAGTTCGAGCGACAGTAAGACCAACGGTCTCGGCATCCTCAAAAGTCTCAGTGACCTTCACCCTCATTGACAGATCAACTGCAAGAGCCATAAGCCAGTATGTGTTGAACCCATTCACATAGAAAGGTTGCCCTCCTACAACAAACTGGTTTCCGTTTCTGCCAACCATCCCCAACCCCCCTACTTCATCAACCTCATGCCTCCTACAAAACAATTGAACAAATTAGTAATAACAATCAACCCTACTATGATACATGAATAAAGAGAAATATAACATAAAATGATATGAATAAATACCAATATTGATGATTGTCATTGAAACGCAAATAGTGGGTATCAACACCAACACTAGCACTTAAAATAGTAACTAATGATGCTAAAATGGAGGGAAGTAAAAGCAACTTTTGAAGTTGTGAAGGCAAGGAGGCCGAGAACATTATATTATTGTTTACTTTTTCAATGTATATTTATATTATTTTTGTAATATTTTGATGATATTCAATTGAGCTTGTTTGTGGTGTGTATATATAAGAGCTTAGAGTTGATGGATAGAAAGATTAGACTGCCGTAGCATGTAAGTAAGTTAATGCTTCTGATTATCACACCCTTACGTGCTAAGTTTTGATGACATGAAATGATTACATAAGCCAAAAGATTGGAGTCATATAGATAGATATTACCCTAATAGGAAGGCTGCATGGCAGTGGTTGCGTACGTGAAAATAAGACCACAAATTTGACCATCCAACGTGGTTGGTTGCTATTTGCTTTTCTGATTTAAGAATGTACGTGGAGTATATTGCTTGATCTTATCATTAGGAGGATAATACTTAATTTGAATGGTTTAGATTTAAAGGGTTGGATAATACTTTGTTAATTAGATTGTTAATTTAAGCTCGAGTTCTAAGTACAATAAATAAATTGAAACGAGTTTAGTAGTGTTTTATTGAGCAAAATATAATTTGAGTATGATCTAATAATCTCAATTGTTTTTCTCAATTCTATTTATTTAGTTATTTAATTGTGTTTACTTAGTCATAATTGTGCTCAGTACATATTATTTAAGTTATTTGTATAATTTCTTAGATATTATTTAAGTTATTTAATGAAGTATAAATATTGATAAAAAAATTTATGCCGACATATTTATTTGATATTTTACCACACATATAGTTAAATGTATAATCTCTAAAATATAAATTATATTAAAAAAAATAATTCAAAAATACAGAGTACAAACAACTCATTAGTCAATTAAACATTCTATTCAAAAACACTCGTCTTCTTCCTTTTTCTGCCGACTAGTAATTAACTTAACTATCATATCACGCAATTTTCTTAGTAAGAAGAATAATACCAAGATTCTATGACAAGTGTCGAGGAAAGGAGAACCCAACGCATGTATATGTGAAATTGCTGATACGTGCTGGAGTAACTTTCTGTGTTTTTCCTTATCCTCATCTCTAACATATACTGACAGGAAGAAAGATTTAAAAGTAGAAATCAGAGATTCATTTTTATTATAATTATTTTCATAACAAAAAACAATTTGTGTAAAACCTTATCTTCTTCAGCTATATACATACAAAACAAGTACTGTATATCTCACTTTTAAAATGTAAATATTCGAAGTTCTATTAATAGATTCACTTATGACTGTTTTCGATTATTGATTGCTGCAATATATAAATCTGTTTTTTGTACTTTAAAGGGTCCGTTTGGGGCAGTTTATAAGTGCGGGTGGCGTTTTCAAAACGCCGTCGTAGTTCAAGATAAGCTGCTTATACACGGGCCGCAGGGGTCGACCCGTGACCTCCGTTTAGTATAAAAACACAAACGCAGTTTCGGATAAGCTGAATTTTGAAAACGCCCCAAACGGACCAAAAGTCTAATCAAGAACTTATGTGTGCATATATTGCTTAGCCATCCATTCTTTATAAGCTATTGCAATTTTCTTTTAAAAATTTTTTTTTAATAAATTGTAATAATATGATTCTAATGTTGATTTTTATAATAATGTGCATAGTCTTATGGCTTCTCTTTAGTGCATTGCTCTCTTCTTGTAATTTTAGAAATTATACTTAGCCCCTCGAATTTAGGGTTTTCTTTTCTTATCACACCCCTTCTCTAATATGCAATCCTCATTGATTTTATATCATTTTTTTTTTGCATAAAAGCCTCTGAGAATTTATGAATTATTAAACAAGGATTAATTGTTTTGCTTCCCACTCTGTGAACTTTTTCCAATTTATATTTTATTAAAACTAAACCAATAAAATTACAACAAATAAATCATGAATGAATGTTAATCCATACAATACAACATTCACATAGCATATTTATTCCTAAATTTAAAATTTTCATGCAATATTTAAATACAAATCATTAAAGAATTTATGAATTGCAATGAATGGTATATATATGAATCCAAATATTTCATCATGGTTGATTATGCTTTGAAACCCTCTTCTTCCTTCCACAAGTCCAATGGCACCTCCAAGAACACATAGAATTGAACATCTTCATTCTCTTTGACTGCAGAGACAGAATTTTTCCTGTAGATTTGGATTTGTGAAGCACCACTGCATAACCATCATCCATAAAATCTGTTCCTTCAGGGAAAATCTGCCATATAAGACAACCTCCTCCACCCCCTCCTCTCTTTGTGGAGTTCAAAATGTTGTCATAAACCATATCAATGAACTGATTCCTTAAACTGACACTGAAGTTCTTGTCCTTCGCCGACATTCCGAATTCCGCAAACACGACCGGCATTCCGAGCACCTTCTCGGCGTCATCGATGTGGCTTTGCATCCAAGATTTGGTGAATTCGAGTTGAGCTTCGGGGATCGAAGTTGATAGCCTGCATGATTGGAAGTGTTAGGGCTATCAGAATTATTCATTGTGATATGGATATTACCACAAGTATCTAATATTTAATAGCAACCTTATATGTTGTTAGGGAAATATACATATATGCCGCATTATTTTACTTACGTAGTTACATATTTAACAACCAAAAGTTTGATATTTACATAATCTTATGCCCGAAGGTTTATTTCACTTTCAAAAAGGCAGAGTGTGATGGTGTTACTTTGATGTGATGCTAAGAATTTGAGTGATTTGCAAGTAACTATGAATGTTTAATAACTGTTAGATATGCAAATACATAAAAGCTGTGTGATAATTATGTAAATGGACCTTTTTAATTAGTGTATATGTAATGTCTAAATTATAGTATTTAGAAGCATAACACTCAATTTTTTGTAATTACATTGAAATTGGGTGGAATTTATGTAAATGCATGCCCTTTCAATTTAATAATAATAATTACAATGACTTTAGCTTTCTAACAAAGCAGAAAAGATTAAGTTTTGCCAAAACATAATTACCAAGCATCTGGATATAAATGAGTTGTGGCAAAGTCAATTCCTAGGGTTTGATGGTTTCTGATGAAGTCGGTCCCGACTTGACCCGAATAGCTATCTGGGTTGAAACGTAGTCGATCAGGCGTCGAGTTTCCATAGAATCCTTCGAGCCCAATCTCGAGTAGGTGATTCGGGTCGATTGATTTTACATGAAATGCCATTTCTTCTATCCATGACTGAAAATGGTTAATGTTCATCAACACTTAGTTAAGCAGGTTTAATGGAAGCTTAAGGTTGATTTATATATATCTATATATCTCAGTGGGTAGAAATAGTAATTACCTGGAGCATGTTGCCTGAAGGATCAGTAGGGCTGCGTGGTTCATTGATTAATTCCCATGCAAAGATTGTGGGGTCGTCTTTGTATGTGATGTTTGTGAAGGTGTTGATTCTATTGAGAACCGTCTGATTAACATCAAAACTAATTAACAAATTATGAATAAATAAATAAATATATAGAAGATATTTAGTTTACATTTATACCACTTTATTTATACATGAAAATGTATATTTTGCGTTTTAAAACTTAATAGTCTTGATTCTTATGTGATACGAAAAATTTAGATAGTATAAATCTAAAGAGTAATAATGCCTTGTTGAAATGTAAATACATAAGAATTAGGTGGTATTTATGTAAAATATTTTTAATTCATTATTTGATTAAATGCAATTAGAAGCTAATTATGAAATGAAGCTTCAAACTCTCATTAGTAAGAATCTTAATTTCACACTAAAAAATGTTGCCTTTTCAAACTCTCATTAGTAAGAATCTTAATTTCACACTCAAAAATGTTGCCTTTAATATTGCTTTTATGCGAAGCAAACAACAATAATACTAATAATAATAATAATTTCGAAGTGTGCAAATAAGCAATAATAATAATAATAATAATAATAATTTCGAAGTGTGCAAATAAGAAAGATCGTTTTCTTAAAAATATATTGTTTAAATAAATAAAATTTTATGTTAAATAAACATATAATGACATGAAATGTAATTAAGAAAGTAAGATTAGTTACTTAATTACCTTGACATGACCTTTATAGTAGCCTTTCAAGGTGGGATTAGTGAAGAAATCATCATCAGAAGTGAGATTTAAACCTGCAGCTTGCCCCCACTTCACATACTGAGCCTTCCCACCAAATGCTTCCATATTATTTGTTAACGACAGTATCAGTCTAATATTACACTTCTTTGCTTCACTCAGCACAAAATCAAGTGCCTAAATAATTTAGAAGGAACAAAAATAATAATAATAGTAATAATGAGCAAGCAATATTACCATAAGAAATCACTATAAACATTGCATAGCACTCAATTCCTTTGTATTTACATATCTAACATTTAGGTGGTATAAATGTAAATAGTAAAATTAAAGTGAAAATTAGATTTGAGGCATTTAATCAATCATGTGAAATTGCAAAGCAATTTTTTTTAGAATGAAGATTTAAAACAAAAGCATTTTCATTAAGTTTTAGTTGCCCTTCTTAATTTATGATTAAATTTAATTTTTTTTTTGAATAATCGGTAAGTAATTATGGATAATTACTATATAATAATGATATTTATTTAATTATGTATCCAATTCTTCATCAAATAGCTATTTTTATTACTTTATATTAAATAATATATTAACACACAATTGATGTGATAATTTTAAATTTTATAATTAATGCAATTTAAAGTTAGCTACCACTACTAATTAGGGAATAATTAATGCATTTACATGTATGTTTTGTATTGCAATTGAGTAGAAGAATTTATGCTAGATAAGAATTAATTTATATCATTAAAACTCTTATATTTATTTTAAAATTTTGCATTGAATGAAATGATTTATTTTAAAATAAGTCAATGTTTAAGTCAAGGATTTTATATCATGCAAAAATGTAGAGAAAAGAAAAATATTAGTGCATATTTTTTATTATTAATTAATGACATCTAAGTGGAGTGTATAGCATATCTAGCTATTAAAAAAAATTAATTTAATGTATCCGTTTCACTTAGGATGCCATATGGCCGTACCCATAATTAATTACATTATTCAATGATGTTTTAAATTAAGTCATGACTCAACCTAACAACTTTAACAAATGTTCTAATTATAATGAAAATTATATTATGAAACCTTTATACCAACTAATAATTTTTTTTATGATAATAAGGTAATGCAACCTATATCTAATAAAACAATATCTTATTTTTTGCTTAGAAGAAATGCTACAACTCCATTACTAAAAATCTATTGTATTAATAAAAATCATCATTATTATCATAGAGATGAATGTCATGCATGTATGGATGAACAAACATAGAATGTGATAATGTACCTGAAAGACATTTTCATCATACACAAAAGGAGACTTCTGCAGTGCCCTCCACCCGCCATCACTGAAGGCCCAAGTTCGACAGACAGTAAGACCCACTGAAGAAGCTTGTTTAAAAGTCTCAGTGATCTTCACCCTCATCGTAGGATCGACCGCAAGAACCATGAGCCAATAGGTATTAAACCCATTGAAATAAAAGGGCTCCGCTCCCACTACAAACTGACTCCCCTTCCTCTGCACCATCTCTAACCCGTACCTCCTAACAGGCATATGAGCAAAAAATAATGTAAACACAAAACCTTTAATGCATAAGGGTGAGTAGAAATATAAAAGCAAACTTCATTAAATGAATACCGGATATCGGGGGCATGCTTATCATCGATATGTGAGGTTGTTGCAATAAGTAATGAAGCTAAAATGGTTGCAAGTAGGAAGAGATTCGGTAGTGGTGAAGATAAGGAGCAGCACATTTTATTTTTTATTTTTTTTTCAATTTTGAGCTATATTTTCTAAAAAAAAATTGATGATATATGTTTGAGATGTATGTATATATAAGAAGTAAATGAAGTAGCTTCAAAGCAAGAGAATGCTTGAGATTACAATTCACTTACACCCAAAGCAGAGAGTTTACTAAAAGGAATGAATAGAGAGGGGGGATGACTGATCAAACCTAATATATGAACATGACAATAAGACCAATGTATTTGACTATCCTACCTGGTTGGTTGCTATTGCTTGATTTGATCAGAGGGTGCCAGGTGTCTTTGAAATGGAATCTGTGGAGTGGGGGTCTTCCTCTTGCTTGAGCATTTAATGCATTTCTAGCGTTGAAATCCGCTTAAATAAATCTTAAACATAAATTGTTCAACTAATTGTTATATTGCTCATCACAAATTTATAATAAAGGATGCAAGTAAAAGAGATTCTCAGCCTTTTTATTTTTAGTTACTTGTAAAGTATACTATATAGAGTAAAGTGCCAAAATAATTTATAATTATTTATTTGCGATCATTTTAGTGTCAGAGTTTATAGAAATATCAAAATAGTTTAATGATTCTTTAAATTGGGGTTGAATTAGTCTCATGGAAGACTTAGAGCTTAATTTATAGATAGTTGAGGACTATTTTGACAATTTTATAAACTCATTGACCGAAAAGACCCACCACACTTTTATAGATAATTGAGGACTATTATATGAAAGTGTCATATCATATAAATCTTGTTTATTTATGCAAGCAATGCTGAACAATTACTTCATTAATTTACACGCGTCAGAATTTTAAACAAAAATAAAAATAGAAGATTTACATAAATACCACTTAATTCTTATTTATTTATATATTTAACATGTAAATTTCTTTATTTATATGTCTTTTCATTTATGTATGAAAAAGTACATATAACTTTTAAAAAAAAGTAAAAATAGTTTTACTTTTATATTTGATATGATAGATTTGAGTGATAAAGATATAAAAAATAAAGTTTACGAGGGTAACATGTAAATACATCAGAATTGAGTGGTATGTATGTAAATGCCCCCAAACAAAAAAAATATATAAATTAGAATTTTGTTATATTATTATGCACATATTAATTCCAGTAGTTTCGGATAAGTGCGGGGAAAAAGAGTCCCCAACGCTTGAAAAACTGTTGATACGTGTTGAAGAGGATTAGCGGCTCTACAACACTTATCCTCATCTAAAATAGAGTAAATGTAGAAATTAGGGATTCATTTTATTATAATTTCTATGAAATTATATGTCCACATCAGCTACATACTAAAATGAGATTAATTTCGAAATTTTTGTGTGTTGAGTAATTAGGGCAAAGAAAAATAGGAATTGGACACAAATCCAAAAGAACACAAAGATTTACCGTAGTTAGACAAAGATGCCTACGTCCTCGGGAACAGAGCGGCGACTTTTCACTAATCCAGAAAAAGAGTACAGGATACAGAATAAAATAACCTAGGGTTACAAACATGCCTATTTATAACCCTAGAAAGAGCATAAAATGAAACATTGAGTACAATATGTAATTACCAAATTACCCATTTACCGCACCCCCAACCCACATAAGGAAACTCTCCTGATTTGGACAGAATCTTCCGCTCTGCTCCAGCATATGTCTCTTATATGACATATGAGTCAAACCTAACAAATCTCCACCTTGGTGAATATCCAATCTCTTATGAGAAAAAAATCATTGAGTTTCTTACGTACAAGAAGTGGATTGAGCCACCATACTTCTCTAGCAACTGCAAACATTCAAAAAGTCCAAGCAATGTAAGAACTTGTTGATAGTAACTAACTTGGTCAACATATCAGCTGCATTTTCATCAATATGAACCTTCTGCAACAGTATCTCACCAGAAGCAATCAATTCTCTGATCTTGTGATATCTGACATCAATATGCTTGGTTCTCGCATGGTACACCTGGTTCTTAGCCAAATAAATAACACTCTTACTGTCACAATGCAACTGAATTCCACCTTGCTCAACACCAGTTCCTTTACTAGCCCAGCAAGTCATAAGGTTTCTTTTGCAGCTTCAGCTACTGCAATGTACTTAGCTTCAGTTGTAGATAATGCCACAATAGACTTAATTATTGATGCCCAACATATAGGCCCTCCGCCAAGAGTAAAAATATACCCAGTTGTAAACCTTCAGCCATCCAAATAGCATGCATAGTTTGAATCAACGTACCCCACAACTGAAGGATCATTCTGCTGACAGCCAAAAATAATTTTATGTCCTACAGTGCCCTTCAGATACCTGAAAATTTACTGACTGCTTCCCAATGTCGTCTTCCAGGTTTAGACATGTATTTGTAGACTTGACTAACAGCATGAGCCAAATCAAGTCAAATACATATCATTGCATACATCAAGCAGCCAAGTTCACTAGCATATGGAACATTTGTCATGTCTTTGATTTCTGTATCTGTCTTAGGACACTGTTCTGAAGAAAGCTTAAATGATTTGCCAAAAGAGTGCTTATAGGCTTTTTTTTGCTCATCTCAAACCTGTCAAGCACTTTCTCAATATAGTCTCGTTGAGATAAACATAATCGTCTTGAGCCTCTGTCTCGATGAATTTTCATTCCAAAAATCTTCTTCGTAGGACCCAAGTCTTTCATATCAAATTCCTGGCTCAATAAAGCTTTCAAACCACAAACATCATTCATATTCTTTGCAGCAATCAGTATATCATCAACATACAATTACAAAAAAATAATAGAACAACATCAAGGCTCTTCACATGAACACAACAATCATACTCATATCGCCTGTAGCTAATCTGAATCATGTAGAAGTCGAACCATTTATATCATTGTCTTGAAGACTGTTTCAACCCATACAACAATTTCTTTAAACTGCAAATCAGATGCTCATGTCCAGGTTGAGTGAACCCTTCTGACAGCTCCATGTAAATCTGCTTCTCCAGATCACCATGCAAGAAAGCAGTTTTAACATTCATCTGCTCCAAATGCAAATCCCAAATGGCTACTAATGCAAGCACTGCCCTGATTGAAGTATGTCTGACCACAGGAGAAAATATTTCATCATAATTTATCCCCTTCTGCTGTAAAAATTCCTTTGCTACCAGTTGAGCTTTGAACTTTTTCCATTCTTTTTCTGATACTGTCAGTTTCCTTTTGTACACTCACTTGCACCCAATAACCTTCTTTCCCTCAAGAAGCTCAACTAGCTCTCAAGTGCAATTTTTTTGCAAAGAATCCATCTCCTCAATCATTGAACCGATCCATTTCTCTTTCTCCTGGCTAGTGATTGCTCATTGAAAAATGGTTGGATCATCGCTGCTGATGAGAAGTGCACAAGAGACCAAGTCTTCATAACCCAATCTGCTAGGCCTTATATCGGTTCGTCTCTATCTGTCTCTAATTAGATTATAATTTTGCAGATCATTTGGAATGAAATCACCATGTGTTAGATTTGAACCTTCAACTCTCTCAGTTGTTTCTGGATGTTGTTCCAAATCCATCTGCACTGCATCTGAAGTGGAAGTGTTGCCTTGCACCTTGTCTTCATTCTGCTGCAACGTGGACTGTTCATCAAAAACTGCATCTCTGCTGATCACCGTCTCATTTGCAATCGGATCTCAAAACTTCTATCATTTCACACCTTTCTTATAGCCCAAAAAGATGCACTTCTTGGATTTTGCATCAAGTTTTGATCTTTCATCTCCAGGTACATGCATATAAGTAGGACACCAAAAATCTGTAAATGATCGAAATTAACGGGATTACCTGTCCATACCTCTTCAGCGACCTTGCCACCTAGCGATGCCTGAGGTAGGGGTGTAAACAAGCTTAACATGAGCGAGCCCAGGCTCAGCTCCTGTTCGGCTCGTTTATATTTCGAGCTCAAAAAGTGTGTTCGTGTTTGGCTCGTTTTCTTAACAAGTCGAACACGAGCTATTCACGAACAAAGAGTCGTTTTGACAACTCTAATCACGTAGTCATAAGATGTTTAAGGATTGGGCCAAAATTTAAAACATCATTTGAATCTAAATTAATAATTTTTATTCTATTTTCTTCATTAATGCTTTTAATTGATTATAAATCTTTGTAGCCTTGTAGTCAATATTTATTTGTATAATTGATTAGTAGTATCTCGAGCCAAAACGAGCCGAACACGAGCGAACAAATATTTGTTCTTGTTCGACTCGTTAACTTAGCGAACGAGCCGAACACGAGTTATTCGCGAACAACAAGTCGTTTTGACAACCTTAGTCTGAGGTGATCTATTAATGAGATAGCATGTCATATTCACAGCCTCTACCCAGAAACTCTTAAAAAGCTTTGCATTTAGTCTCAAACATATTGCCCTTTCAGTTAAGGACATGTTCATCTTTTCTGCCACACCAATCTGTTGTGGTATCTGCGCACTGAAAAATTCCTCTGAATCTCATGCTCCTCACAGAACTTCTGAAATTGTGAATCTGTGTACCATGTGTCATTATCGGACCTCAAATACTTGATCTTTCTTTCAGTTTGGTTCTCCACCTCAGTTTTCCAGCTTGAATTTAGAGAAGACTTCAAGTTTTTGCTTAAAAAAATACACCCAACCTTTCCTGGGTAAATCATCAATAAAGGTAACAAAAAACGGAGATCCTCCCAATGACGATTCTCTGGTAGGACTCAATACGTTAGAACACACATAATAAAAAATCTCTTTAGTTTTATGTTTTCCAATCATAAAATTGACTATAGTATATTTTCCAAGAGCACAGGACTTACAAAGATCGAGCTAGCAGCTTTTAACACCATGCAACATATTTTTTCTATGCAATTTCGTCATCTCACGTTCACTGAGATGACCCAGACGCATATGTCATAGCTTTGTACTATCATCATCTGACTTCACAAAATGAACTCCACTTACAATTGTACTCCCCAACAGTTTGTAGATATTACTTGTATTGTGTGTAGTTAATTTTCCTTTCATCACCTTCAGTGCACCTTTAACAATTCTGATGGTTTCCCTATCCTCATCTGCTTTAGGAATAAAATCATTTCTATGTAAAGTGTCAATGGAAATCAAATTCTTCTTCAAATCTGGAATGTGTCTGCCATCACATAAAGTTCTAACTGTGTCATCATACATCTTAATTCTGACTTCTCCAATACCAACAATATTGCAACATCCATCATCACTTAGATAAACTGAGTCAAAATTAGTTTACTTGTATGAAATAAACCACTCCTTGTTATATATTATGTGATAAGAGCATCCTGAATCAAGAATCAATGCATCTGTGAACTGAATTGATGAAACTGAAAGCATATCGTCATCACTATAATCTGAATTGTCACTCTGTACCACATTTACAGACTTCGATGATCCATCACCTTTCACCCCAATCTGCTTCTTGAGCTTTGGACAATCTCTGTTCATATGATATGACTCCTTGCGCTTGTAGCAATGAATTATTTCTTGCCTTTGGATTTGGATCTGAAATTTCGCCATCGAGAACCCTCATTCTCTTTCTTCCTTCCACGATCCTGATTACCCTTCACATATAAACTGTCTTCATGAGAGTTTTCCCCTACATTCTACTTCCGTTGGTTGTGAGCCAACAATGCTGCAGTAATATCATCAACTTTGAAAGTTTCTTTCCCATATATAAGGGTAGTTATCAGGTGTTCATAGAAAGAAGATAGTGAACACAACAAAATCATTGATTGCTCTTCATCCTCAATAGTCACATCAAGCCGTGATAAATCTGTGATTATTTGATTAAAGACATTAACATGTTGTGCCAGATCAGAACTTTCTTGCATCTTCAGCCCATACAGCTTTTGCTTCAGATACAATTTATTCGTCAGAGATTTAGCCATAAACTGAGTTTTCAATTTCTTTCATACCTCCCATGGATATTTCAGATTCATCGCGTGAGACATAACATTATCTGTCAGGCATAAACATATAGTTGCTACCACTTGTTGTTGTAATTCCTCTCAATCTTCATCCTCAATGGCATCTGATTTTGTTGTCCACAAAGCTTTCAAGATTCCCTATTGAGCCAACAGATATTTTACTCTTATTTGTCACAATTCGAAGTTACCATTTCCATCGAACTTAATCACCTCGAATTTTGCAATTATTTGAAATTGATTTTACAACAAATTCTTCTGCAATTGCTTACTCAAAATCATTCTAAAAAAAAGATAGAAAAAATTCTCTTAATTAAGTTTCATTAATTAAGTTTTTTTTCCAAAAAATCAACAAATTTCTTTTTGAAAATAAAAGATTAAAATGTTTCTTTAATTAAGCTTCCTTAATTAAGTCTCCTTAATTAAAATATTTCCTTAATTAACTGAATTTTAAAAACTTTCCTTTCTTCAGCCTCCGCGCCTTCAAGCTTTCTCCGGCAAACAGCCTGCAGCGAACCGCCTTCGGCTTCGCCTTCATAATCTCCTGCGTTGGCGGTAGCCTCCCGCGAACAATCCCTCATGCCTCCGTCCGCCAACTTGTGCAAAATTACCGCAAACCGCTTCGCTGACCTTCGCGAATTTCCTTCGTTAAATCTTGCGTCGTCGATCTTCCGCGAATATCGCTCTGCGACAACCTATAGCCGCGATTCGCGAAGTCTCGTCTGCCGCTATTCGCGAATTGTTCTGTGAACTCTTCCTCCCACAAGATTCACGAACAGTTCCTCCTGTCTGTCGCGATCGCAAGCTCACTGAAGCCATCGCGCCGAAACTTTCTAAAATTTGGCTTCCTGTAATGAAACGTAAAAGCCCTAGTTGTCAAACTCCTCTTCTTCCCCGAAATTTTTTTTCACTGCCCTCAAACTTGGCTCTGATACCACTTGTTGAGTAATTAGGGAAAAAAAAAACAGGAATTGATCACAAAGATTTAACGAGATTCTACAGAGATGTCTACGTCATCGGGACCAGACCAGCTGCTTTTCACTAATCCAGAATAAGAATACATGATGCATAATAGAATAACCTAGGGTTACAAACAGACCTATTTATAAACCTAAAAATAGCAGAAAAGAAAGTCTTGAGTACAATATGTAATTATCAAATTACCCCTATACCGCACCCTAACCCACATAAGAAAACTCATCCAATTTGGACAAAATCTTTCATTCCGCTTCGCTCCAGCATTTATCCTTTATATGATATATGAGTCATACCTAACAGATAGGCATGAAAATCCACCCAATTATTAATTTCTAATTCTGATTGAGCCAACCGACAATTTCTAATTTGATATATACACAACACATAACCTAGCTCCAAAATATTTCAATTACATTTACTCTATTTATACAATATTTTTTTTTTCTGAAACAAACTTGAAAATTTCAGATTTATTGCAAAATAAATAGCCAGATTGGCTCCACCGCTCGGAATAAAAGGAACAAGAGGCATTTACATTCATACCACACAATCCCTATGTATTTAAAATTTTAACACAAACTTTACTTTTTCATATTTATAGCACCCAAATCTATCATATCAAAAATACCACTATTTTAACTTCTACAAAAAGTAAAAAACAACTCTTCATCCATAAATAGGGTAACATATATATAAATTGAAGTTTAGTTCTTGGATATGTAAATGCACAAGAATTGAGAAGAAATATTGCTTCAAGACTCCGCACGTAGAGTTACGTGTGGAGTTCAATGAAATCACAACACGTAGTGGTAACACAATGGAATATTCCTCCCGTGTTATGCAGGCGTTATTGTGTGTTATTCAGGTGTTATGGTGAATTATTCAAGTGTTATTGATGTATTATTGTGTTATTATAACATCGAGAATATTTTCATAACACAATAAACACCTGAATAACATATCCTGAATAACATATAATAACACCTGAATAACATATAATAACACTTGAATAATATAGAATAACACGTGACGAATATTCCCTTATATTACCTCTGTCAACTCGACGTGATGTGATTTTATTGGACTCCGGAAGGAACTCTACATGCGGAGTCCTGATGCAATATTTTTTCAGAATTGAGTGGGGTGTGTGTAAATCTTTCAAAAACAATAAGCAGATTTAGTTAAAAACTGCTCCAAAAAAAGGAATGTTTGAGCACGAGAACAAATATTTAAGAGCGTTCATTTAGCAGCTGGCCTACAAAAAAACTGCATGGCACAAATGTAAAAAGAATTCAGAAGTAAACCAGCTTAAGTTGAGTTCAAAGCACTGCTTCTCTGTTTAGATAGGTAGGAATCATTTGAAACTAAGTCTGGAATTAAGCCCCGGCCTTGCGACGACCAACACGAGCAACAAAGCCGGCCTTGATCGGCGCCACGGATCGCGACGAACCACACTGCAACCAAAAGAATTTGATGAAGTGAATAGGGTTATTTACATGTATACCACCCCATTCCTATGTATTTATTTAACACCTAAGCTTCTCTTTTTTACATTTATACCACCGAAATCTTACATAGCACATCAAAATTACGACTATTTTTAACTTTTAAAAACATCAAATAAACTTTTTCATGTATGGTTAAGGTGGCAGAGATGTAAAAGTTGTGTTAATATAGAAATTAGGCGGAATGTATGTAAATCTTCCAAATTAATATAATTAAAAAAAAATTCTGAATAGCATATAACGAGCTTATTTTCTAATGTTTTTCCCCAAAAAATATTGGGACAATTACATGAACAACTCCCAAATTTTCTTGACTGATAGAGCATTAGATTAATTTTATTTATAATGATATCATCCAAATCTTTAGCGTAACCACAAAATTGCAATTTTGCTTTCATTAAATTCTTGTTGGTTCCCAAGTCCCGGCCGTAAAAAGTGGAGGAATGTGTTAGGTAGTCAAAAGCTAGAATAAAATTTGTCAAACAATCATGACATGAATCATTCAAATCCTTGCGTAAATGCAAGGGAGTCTCCTAAAAACGACGCGTTGCATGAACTGAATACAGTGAAAAATGTGCAAAATCTGCTACACCTGCATCCGAGTGTAGTGTCAAGCAAGGGTTCCCACATTACAAACGAATACTGGTAAAGAAGTTAGTCTATAATATTAATATTTGGATAGAATCTTGAAATATAGGTACTCACAAGTAAATTAATGAAATTAGTTGATATTACAGTTCATAGAAAAATAAATATCTTATGTATTCAATAAACTAAATAGGTTGGAAAAAAGCTAAGGGAATTGATAGCTTAGATTTTAAATTTTAGTATTCATGTAGGAGTCGCACTAGAAAGAGTATAACTGCAATTATAGAAAAGAGTTTGAAACATAATGTTACAAAAACTAATATAATTGAAGATTGAATTATAATCCTTAAGATTATTATTGATACTAAGATTATTAATATTATAATTGCTTATGTTTCTCAAGTAGGTTTAGACATAGGTTATAAAGAAAAATTCTGGAATGAACTAAAAGAATTAATACAAATGATACCTCTTGAAGAAAAAATTTTTATTGAAAAAGATTTATATGGATATGTTGGTAGATTGGTTGAAAATTTTAGAAATATTCATTGTGGCTACAGCTTTGAAGAGATTGATGAAGAATACAGAGTTATATTAGTTTTTACTTTAACATATGATTTTGTTATTGCTAATATTTTATTTAAAAAAAGATATGAGCATATTATTACTTATAAGAATGGAACTAATAAAACACAAATTGAATATTTTCTTATGAGAAGAAGAGATCATCAAAAATGTTAAGATTGTAAGGTCATTCAAAATGAAAATTAAGTACTTAACATCAATTATTAGTTTTGGAATTTAATATGAAGAATTATAAGAGAAGAAATACTAGAAATCATTATCATAAAATTAGATTGAGGCACCTAAAAGATAAATAAAACTTTTTTATAGTAAACTTCCATATTTCAGCCTAAAAGATAAATAAAACTTTTTTATAGTAAACTTCCATATTTCAGGATTTAGGATGTTCATGAAGAAACAAATTCTATGTAGGATAAAGTAACAAACACTATTAAATAAGTGGAAAAGATTTATTCAGAGAATCAAAATGAAAAATTTCTATAAAAAAACAAATAGTGGTCAAATAATAATGTGCTAATAATGTGTAAGTAAAGATAAAATATAAGTTGCGTTATAAAAATGAAATTAAATATTAAAGCTTAGACAATTAGAAAAATATAAGATGATCTGTAGGGTGTCTAAGAGAACAATTTGTGACGTTAAAAATTCTATTTTTAGTAATCTTTATAATAGATTATATACAAAAGAAGGTGAAAAATATATGTATAAACTAGTCAAATAAAGAGAAAAAAATAAAAATTTAACTCAAGTAAAATGTATTAAAGATAAAATTCAAAAAATGTTTTTCCTACAAAAATATACTCAACATAGGTGAGCGGGCTATTTTGATAAACTTTCCAATTAACTTTATGAAAAATATAATCGATCTTGGTGATCCTAATATCATTAATATTAATAAAATATTTTATTTTTACAGTTGCATTAGTAAAAAATAATTGGTGAGGCTTTAAAAGAAACCAAGAGTAGAAATCAATAGGAAATGACGATCTCCCAATTGAAGTGTGAAAATATTTAAAAGCTTTCATAGTTTTTTGGCTTGTTAAACTCTTTAATATTATTTTAAAAACTAAAAGACGTTTGACGAGCAAAGGAAGAGTATTTTGGCCCCCATTTGAAGAATAAATAGAATGCTTCGAAGTGCAAATTACAGAGGAATTAAGTTGACGTGTCATATTTTAAAATTATGGGAAAGGATAACTGAACATATGTTAACACGTGTTACAAAGATATATATTTATTGAGAGGCTTGATGGAGAAGTTCAGAGAAAATAAGGAGGATCTACATATGATTTTTATTAATTTAGAGAAAAACATTCAATAAAGCCCCAAGAGAAATCATTTGGAGAGTTTTAAAGAAGAAAGGTGTTGATATGACTTATATTCAAACAATTAAAGATATGTATACTAGAAATGTTACTTTTATTCAAACAGATGACAAAAAATTTCCCTATTTCAGTTAGACTACATCAAGGTCGGCTTTAAGCCCATATCTTTTTCCTTCAGTTATGAATGCTTTTACTGGACATTTACAAGAGGATGTACCTTGGGGTATGTTTTTCGCCGATGATATCTTTCTTGTGATAAAACTAGAGAAAGAGTTCAAGAAAAACTTGAATTATGGAGTGTGCATTCGAGTCTGGAGGCCTTCATTTGAGCATATCTACAACTGAATATATGGAATATAGTTTTAGTTGTAGTAACTCTAGCGACAGAGTTGTAACTATGAGTGATCAAATCATTAAAGGGTGTGAATGTTTAGATATCTCAGGTCTATAGTTCAAAGTGATCATAATATAGATAGAGATTTTATTAGTAGAATTCAAGTTAGTTGGTTGAAGTGGAGGAATGCTTCGAGCCAATCTTGAACTGAACCTGCAATGCTCTATGTCGCAGAATGTTGGGCTTTAAAATTTAAGCATAAAACAAAGTTGAGTGTTGTTGAGATGAGAATGCTTATGTGGATGAGTGGCTTAGCACTTAGACAATATGCAAAATGAACATCCGTAATAGGGATGGTGTAACTCCAATGGAAGACAAAATTAGAGAGCTATCTTAGATGGTTTGGTCACATTAAACGTCGACCATCTGATGATCTAGTTAGGAGAGTAAATGTTTTAGATTCAATTTATGTTAAGAAAGACAGAGGTAAGCCTAGAAAGAGTTTGGAATATTGTATAAAAAATGATCATAATTATTATAATTAAATAAAATATGACACTCAATAGAACACATTGGAGAAAAAAGATTCATGGAGCTAACCCCACTTAGTGGGATGAAGACTTGTTGTAGTTGTTGTTATCATCATTAAATTCTCGATGCCTGAGGAGTGAAGGAAAAGTAATTTGGTCCTCATTTTAAGAATTAATGGGATGCACAAAAGCGTGTAAATTATTAAGAAATTAAGTAGGCAGGTCTACTGTGGAAGCTATACAGTTATTGAAAGGTTTAATGGACAAGTATAGAAAGAGCAAGGAGAATCAAGATATGATTTTTAATGATTCAAAAAAATCTCACGATAAGTTTCCACGAGAAGTCCTTTGGAGAGTTCTAGAGAAGAAAGATGTTAATATGACTTATATTCAAGCCATTAAAGATATGTCTACTAGATTCACATGTATACTAGAGTCGTTACTTGTGTTCGAACAAAAGGAGAATTGACCAAGTATTTTCTTATTTCAGTTGGATTGAATCAGGGATCCGCTTTAAGCCCATATCTTTTTGATTTAGTTATGGATGCTCTTACCGGACATTTACAGAAAAATATACCATGGTGTATACTTTTTGCTGATGACATCCTTCTTGTGGATAAGAGTAGAGAAAGATTTCGGAAAAAAACTTAGAATTATGGAGAACTACGTGGAGTCTAAAAGCTTTTGTTTAATGGATCTAAAATTGAATAAATGGAAAGTATTTTAGTGGTAGTAGCACTAGTAGCAGAGTAATTTCTATGGGTGATCAAATCATTAAAAGATGTAAACGTTTTAGATATCCCGGGTCTATTGTTCAAAGTGATGGTGAAATAGATGGGGATGTTATTGGTAGAATTCAAGTTGGTTGGTTGAAGGGGAAGAATGCATCAGGCCTATTGTGTGATAGAAAAGTACCGCTTGGACTTACAAAGAAAATTTTATAAGATGGTGGTGAGACCAGCAATGCTCTATGGTACAGAATATTGGCCTTTAAAAGAGAAGCATAAAACAAAATTAAGTGTTGCTTAGATCAGAATGTCTAGTTGGATGAGTGATGTGGCTTGACACTTAGAGACAAAATGTGAAATGAATATATCTGTGATAGGGTTGGTATAACTTCAGTGGCAGACAAAATTAGATAGAGTCGTCTTAGATGATTTGGTCACATTAAACATCAATTATCTGATAATTCGATTAGGAGAGCAGGTGTTTTAGATTCAACTTGTTTCTATTATAATTAAATGAAAATATGACACTCAATAAGAGGCAATGGAGAAAACGGATTCATGTGGCACTTTGTGAGATAAAGGCTTGTTGTTGTTGTTGTACTAAATTCTCGAAGACTTGGTTGTTTTAGCACGTGCAAACTCATGGGTTCAATAGTTCATTTTATGAACCATGAATAACTCAAAAATTTAATTGATTTATAAAACATTCAACAAAATTTATTTAAAAAAATAACATCCAAATTGAAAGATTGCCATTAAACTGCAATTAATATTTTTCAATTTCATTAAATTATCAATAATGTAGCTATAGCATGCACAAACATAGAGATCCATAGTTCATTTTGTGAACCCAAGTGTATGTAAATCTCAAAAAAAATATTTAACAAATAAAAAGGACTGCAAATTAAAGTAATCAACCCTTTCGAACAACTATAGAAATTAGTAAATGGAAATATGTTCACAAACAAAGAATCAATTGACAAACAACCCAATACAAAATCAACACTATAATAAGAACACCCATTTAAATCTAAAAAAAAAGGAAAAAAAACTCAAACCGATTTTTATGTATTTTCTTGAAATTATCAATAATTTAATCATATCACACATTGATGTAAGGGTTTGATAGTTCAGTATTTTAAGAACATAGTTACATAGATGCTAGTTTTGTCAATAAAGATAAATTCAGTGGAATGTGCATAAATCTCAAAAAACTAAAAAATAATAATAATAGATAAACACTGTCATTAAGAATGAATTAAATAGAATAAAAGTTACCTGCTCACAACGGAGGAAGAAAAGTCTATTCTCCTTCGAGAGAATGGTATCTGCACTCTTGCAGCCATTGCAAATAACATACTCATCTAAAATCAAAGAAAAACTATATGAGACGATAAAGTAATTAAAGGTAAGAAAAATAACACATTTTCTTGTAAGCTAACTAATTAGCTAAAAACATCACCGATATTAATGGTAAGAAGAAAATGGGAAACGAACAGTAGACTGGTAAACATAATATAAAGTTTTAATCTTAGGAAAATTTACAAACATACCACATAATTCTTACGCATTTACATAATCTGGCCTAAAGTCTGATATTTACATTTATAACAACTTAGTATTAAAAATCTATGCGTGAAAAAATGTGTTTCACTCTTAAAAATTAGTGATAGTGACATTTTTTTGTGATGTTAAATCTTTGAGCAATAAGATTTTAGGCATTAGATATGTAAATATATAAGAATTGTGCCGCATGTATGTGCATGCCCCTTAATCTTATTATGTGACACCTTATTTTAGATGTTGCCCCGAAAATGCCGTTTCACCATGAACAACAAACCAAATAACTTATCAGGAGGTTCAGCTTAGTAGTGTTCAAAACAAAAACTATCAATCCAACCAAGTTTAAAGTATAAAAAATATACATTTCTCCAATGCAAAAAGAATAGTTTGACAACGATGTTAAAACTATTTCATTATTTTATGGATAACTGTGTTGGCCATTTTTTATTCCAAAGCAGCATTTACAAAAGGAAGCAAGAAAAAAACAAAATTTCCCAAATGCAATTTATGAATTTGTGGGAACTTACTGATATATCTCTTAAGAATACCCTCAAAGTTCTTAGGAGCAAATCGCCCCTTCACAACCAATCTCTGCTGCCCATCAAGAGATCCGGTGGTTCCCATTTCAGCAAGTAAGAAAGTCATAACATGCTCCGGCTGCCTGTGCATGCTGAAAATAGCAAAATATCAAGATCAAATCTCATGTGCGATAAAAAGATACATTTAGTAACAGATTTATTATTTTGTTACATATGTTTTTCTTACAAAAAGATTGGAAAAAAAATTATGAGTCCTATAAATGATTCGATTCAATTAACACAGTTTGGTTTGGAAGGTTAACAAACATATCACTCAATTCTTATATGATTACATATCTAACACCTAAACTTCAATTGTTACGTGAATGCCACCATACCTTTGCATGACAAGGTGTATTTCACTTTTAATAAGTTGAAATGGTGGTATTTTTTATGTGATGTGAAAGTTTTGGGTGGTATTAATGTAAAAAAGTAAAGTTTAGATCTTAAATATGTAGATACATAAGAATTGGGTGGTATGTGCGCAAATGCCCCTTTTTTCACTGAAAAGGTGGGGAAACTCTTCTTCATTAAAAGGAAGAAACCAAAGTTTACAGAGCAACATGAATAAGTTGAAAAGAATGACAAAAACATCTAGAAAAAGTACCAAAAAGATTAAACTATAAGATGGTTTGGACTGTGGAGAGAGCCTTTTTCTACGAATGCTATCCATCCAAAACTATTCTTGGGATATAAAATTGAACTGTTTAATTTTATTTCCTTTTAATTTTTATCTGGAGAAACAGCTACTATTTTATTCCTTCAAAATGATAATTACTGTGGCATTAGTAAAACAGTCATGATTCAAACAATCATGGTCATACGTCTTGCAGGAATCCATAAAATTTGCAAAAACCGTCTTCTTAGTTCCTTCTCGGAGAACTTGTGGAGGTCTCATCACAGTTCTGCGCCGGTCTCCAGCAAGTAACGGATTATTCTCACGTAAAGTATTGAAGACCCTGTCCAGAAGCTACAACATTGAACTAAAACATCTGAGCACCAATAAAAGCTTAAATTCCAAACTCAACCAAAAGACCTGTTGTAGAACAGCAAATAAACAGAATAAAAAGTTGATCATGCTCTTACAACCATTCAAAAGTACCGAAGCCATAAAAAAATGTAGGAACAGAACAACAACAGATATAAAGATTGGCTTAGAATTACAAGTTTAATTTTGAATTATAGAAATCTATATTTGAACATAAATCCATTTAAATTAATCTAAAAGGGTTACGCCCTATAGACAAGGTTATCTACAATTATAAAAGAAATTTCAATTGTAGGAAAGGTTTGTTGTGGTATTTAGATCCTTTCCAACAAAATAATTTCAAGAAATCTTCATTCAATAAAATATAAAGTAAAATCACTAACATAAAAAGTGCTCCTACCGTACAAAAAAAAGTGAAGAAAGTTTTTTCACAACCTAAGGGGCAACACATGAAACAAACTTAAAATTCCAAGCGCCAAAACATCAGACAAGTAAACACAATAACAGTTCAAAGTGAGTAAATCATAAATGAAACAACCAATCAAAAGAATACCACTGCGAGTGATGTTGAACATATCCCTCTATTGAAACCCGATAAAATTCTAGTACAGTTGTTGTTTCCCTGGGCTCTTAAAATGAAGAAAGTGTCAAAAATGAAGTTGAGATCCTCAAAAGATCTTAGAAAAGAAAAATTTTAACTCACATCTATAGTATTACACTTAGTTGATCTGTCTACACAGAGAACAAGAAGGATAGCAGAGTATATTACTCCAAATTGATAAATTCTATACTGATGTTGACTTTTTGGTCCTGGATACTCCATCCATGATTGAAATGAAGTGGAAAATTCTCTTGATCTGAAACTTCATGGCTATTGCATAAGCCCTTATGAATTATAGGAATAGTTATATTGAGTTGTTATTTAGAAATTGTGGCTATGAAAGCAAATGTTTTCCACATTAGAAAACAATCATGTAACGGAGATGGTGCCATCATGCTCTAATGATAGACTCAATAATTTTTTTAGAAAATTTTTACAATATAATTCTGAATCTTTAAACGATTTTCTTATTGAATATGATTCAAAACAATTATCTTTATCATAAAAATTTAAACAGCCATAGTTTATTCTTTTTAATTCAAGCTACCTCTTAAAATGAAGCTGAAATCATTTGTTTAAGAGAAACTATCTCCACTATCCAAATGTTTGAGGTTCGAGTGATGCATTTTCCAGCAGTCTCTTCTCACGTTAGAGCTAAATAAGATTGAGAATTTGATAAATCTATCCAGTGAACAAATGTCAACACTAGGATGGACTATACTTGTCATTAATAGTATTTCTCCATCAATTTGATCATATATAATCCATTAAGAGGAAGGAACTCAACCCAAACCACAAAAGAAGATTTAACCCAAAAAAATCACAAGTAGATAGGAAAAAGGTATTAGAAGTTTTTAGATGCAATTATAATCTAATCAATATGTGGATCCAACACTAATAGCTCCTGAGAAATCTAAGGTAATTGCAAGCGGTTCTCATTCTAATCAAAAGTAGTGAAAAAATAGAGCATTTCTGAGTTGGTATAGAAAATTAAATGTCTATCCATTGCAAAAGATCATTTTCCAATACCTTTCATCAACTAAATCTTATAATGTGTAGCTATATATTTTTCTATTTCTTTCTCGGAAGAGTATTCAAGAGTAGTAGTAGAGGGAGTAATATGGAAGACCAGGTAAAAACTACGCACACTTCCAGTACCAAAGGCTTCTGCAGAATTTTCTTTGGATTATGCAATGCCCCAACTAAGCATTGCATGCTTAGCATTTTCTTGATATGATTCCAAAATGCATGGTAAATCTTTATAAATTACTTGACCAGTTTTTGTGATTTCCTTAGTTCTTCTTTATTAATCTAAATGCTGCATTGAATCAAAGTTGAAGACACAAGGATTTGTATTTAGATGAGAAAGTAGTCATTTCATTGTACCATTTGGAATTGTTTTAGAGTATATAGCATTTGAAAGAGGAATCAATGCTGAAAAAGCAAAAAATTTGCGGATCTCTAAAGTTTCTACTCCCTAAATAATAAAAGACGTTAGGTCTGTTCTAAGGTATGTTGGTTTCAACATAATGTCAATTAAGAAATTGAGAATTTTACAAATGTAGCACACAATTCTTATCTACGTGCATATATCACACCTGAACGTTCATATTTACATACAAAGCACTTTGGTTCTTTAAGCCTGTACATTAAATGGTGTATTTCACTTTTAAAAATTTAAATGCTATGTGTGTAAATATGAAAGTTAAGGATGTGAGATACATAAATACATAAGAATTGTGTGCTGTGTGTAAATGCCCCTAAAAAATTGTCATTTCACGATATTTATGTAACCTCATAAACAAAGATATTGAGTTCAACAAGCAAAGTGTGAATATGCCTTCATACTCTAGTTTTCAAACTCCCTTATACTCCCATAATGCAGTCACTAAATTGGAATCTACACTTTGCGATTATCTGTGATGCTAGTAATTATGTTGTAAGAGCCATTGGATGAAGATAAAGGAAGCCCTTTGTTGTTCACAATGCTAATAGAACATTAAACAATGCTCAAATTAATTGTTCTATAACTGAAAAGGAGAACAAATGATTTTTTTGTGTCTCAAATATTTTGTTCTTTAATATCATATAAATTTAATCACACTCTTTTTATATGATTGGCATTGGATTAATAACTAATTCTAGAATTTTTGTTATACAGGTTCAACTTCTAATATGATATCCTCCACTTGATAAATTATCAATTTTAAGAGTTTGTAAGATAAAATTAAGTTTAATTTTATTTAAAAGAGCTCTTTGTAAATAAAAATATTTTTATTCTTATATTTTTCAATTACATGTTTGAGGTGCCAAACATGCAATTGAGTAGTAATTAAAAATCAAAGTTGGAATTGAGTGAAACTCGGAAGGCCTTTTTTCACTGGTCATTATTTTTATCCTTATTCATGTCAATAAATCTTCGGAGAGAAATTTATTTCAAAATGTTGAGCTTCTCTCTATCTTATTTTTCTGATAAATAACTTCTTGTTGATTTATCTTATCTATGGATCAACACCCAAAGCTACAATACAATAATCTCTTAAGCCAAAGTAATGACATATTAGGTAACATCAATGATGATTACTGAGCGAAGAATCATAATTATCACTTTTCTTACTATGATGCTCATGTGCCTTACTCTGGAGCTTATCACTTTTCTTACTATGATGCTCATGTGCCTTAAATCTCTGGAGGATCAAGATGACAAATTATACAGTTCATGCCACAATCATATTTTGATAACCATGTACATTCTCAATCTTAATATTATTATTTTATCATATCATATTATAATAGCCATACATAATCTTATCAACAATGTCATGATCATGAACGATCAAATTGTGATGGTCATGCCTACTCTAATCTCTAATAATATGATTCTCATCCAAAAGTCAACTCACTTTGATCGATCTTTTCCTACATCTTATCAACTCCTTAATCAACCAAGATCAGGTGATGAAATTATAAATGCTAAAAGCAGATCATTTCCTAAAGAAAAAAGTCCGAAGCTACTTCTCCGTCCAATTACTTCAATCTCAACTCCACCAATCAGAGCAATACCACTCTCTTCGACATTATACGCTTTTTCCTGTGTATTATCTTGTAGTTGAACCTAGCTAAGATTGTGAACCGCATGATTATGTCTAAAAAGATGAGCTTGAGTCGGAGTTTACACAAGGCTATGTAGAGAGTAAACTTAACTTATGTTTGAGAAGTGTTCAACTACTATTATTGCGCCACTACCAATATGGTGAGAATTAAACTTATATTGCCGCCTCCATCACAATAAAATAGTTTTGATTATTTGCACATCTATTTGCGACAAACCCACAGATTCTTCATGAGTTGCCATCGCTAACAGCCCCACTAGTCATTCATACTAGTTGTTGACCACCTCCTTGATCACTAGACTATAGTAAATGTATACTTATGAGCATGCTTAGAGTTGTGTAAAAAGCCAATTTTGTGCCAACCACCACAATGTTTACTTTGCAAATCACTCACACACACACACACACACACACACACAAAAATATATATTATAAAGACATGAATAATGTTTCAATGATTAATTCATTATTAGGAAAGTATCATAATTCTAAAACAATTTACAGGGATAATGGCTCTTCTATTGCAATATTCGTAGTTTGATTGATTGAAGATTAAATAGAATTTAAGGTTCCAATTTTCTCTTTCTAGCAAAAAAATACCATTCTCTCTCTTGTTTTTCGCCTCAAAGCCACATAAAGCCGAAACTCATATTACAATCGGCACACTCCAATAAAGTAGAGCTTCAAAGAAAATGGGCAAAAATTACTGCAAAAATCTACTTGACAAAAAATTGCATAAAACTATGGGTTAGAAAAAATCAATGCCCCTTTTTTTCAAAAAGGAAAAAAAAAATTCATCTACTTTCACATATGTGAGAACCTCTTGTGATATATGAAAAAGTATACCTCCTCATATTTGTAATCTCGGTCAGTACCTTCCCAAGGAAATTGTTCGCCTCCAAATACAATTCCCTCTCCTTGCTCATCCTCACCAATTTTTCCATCTAAATCACTCACGCCGATAGAAAAAAATCATTTACAAATAAAACTAATCAATTAGGATATGTAAACTTAGCATATACTAAGACTCAAGAAAAGGTGTAATCTTATATACTATAATCTCATAGCATTTACCATCATTATCCTCCCCTGCATCCACTTCCTCATTTTCATCCACGTCTAATTCCACCTGAGAAGATGCCCAAATTCATAAATATTATGTCAAAACAGCTTCCACAAACGAAATCGCCCCAAAATAAGCACCGCTGCAAACCCATAAAACCCAACCTGCTTCTTCTTCTTCTTCTTCATTCCAGAAAACACAGATTCACCAGCATCTTCCACTACATTTCACAAACACTTCTGCTCTATCAGAAATGCACCCTTCCGAAAAATAAAAAACAGGCAGCATCAACATATCTTCATAATCAAACCTGACAAAGTCTCGGTTGTTTCAACTAACTTCTCCACCTCTTCAGCGATATCTTGAGCCACCGGCTTCTTCTTCTTCTTTTTCTTCGTAGGATCAAAGGGGGCAAGCTATACGAGAGCACCACATATTAATTTTTTATTGCATCTTCATTAATCCTCAAAAGCTCAAATTATATCAAAAAACAATGCCCACACACAATTCCAAAGCTAGTTAACAAGCAGCAATGAAACAAAATAAGAAATATACCTCTGAAATCTCATCCTTCAAATCACTTGCAATATCCGACGCCATATTGTACGCTGCTTTTCGTCTAGCAACAGAAACAATGTACTGATCAAAGGGAGTAGAGATCGACTGTTTTAAAATCAGCGGACGATTCTCTTCCAGAAATCAAAAAAATGAACAGATTTCCGATAAAAAATATACGGGGAGGATGGAGAGGAGACAAAACCCTTGGAACCCTAACTTGGCGGATGAACCCACAGCAAAACGCTTCTGCTCTTTCGCTTCCGTCGCTGCGAGCTGATTGGAGTTGGTCGATATTAGCTTGCATTTTCTTAGGACATTTTTTAATATTTACTTTTTTGTATTAAAATGCATAATTAGAGAAATGATTTGAGAAAGTGGACTTTAGCGCCTAAAAAGCGCTCCCAAACAGACCCTAAGGGTCTGTTTGGCACAACTGCAGCTTTTCAGCTGCAGCTGTGCTGCTCTAGAAAACTGCTGCCGGAAAGTTGTTGTGGGGAAGCTATGCAGCTTCTCAGCTTTTCAGCTGCAGTTGTGCTGCTCCTGCGGGGAAGCTGACTGACTGTTTGGTACAGTTGTGTGAAAACAACTTTGGGACAGCTATTTCTGAAAAAATTACCATGTTGTCCATGTTTGGTAAAACTATTTAAAAGAGAACTGTGACAACAACGTATTTAATACTTCTGAAGCAGAATTTCACTCTGAAATACTTCGAAAATTCAGATGTTCAACTAACTTAACAGTGAATACCGAAAATGGTAAAGGAAAATGAGAAAACCACAATTCATAAAAATCATAGCCAAAATTATATACTCCTCTTCTGGTTAATCATAAGAAAATAAAAGCATGCAACCTTTCAAGGGCTTGTATGAGGACCCCAAATGTAAATTCTAGCACAGCGTACCCCAAAATGAAAAAAAAATGATGAAATAGGGCATAGGAACAATACAAGGATATGCATAGAACCATTGAGAAAATGCTAAAATCATTGGAAAAGCACGCCAAAGGCATAAAAATTTGTCCTCATATTTTTTAGAACAAGACTAAGAAATATGTCAAGGAAGAAGGAGGAAAAAGGAATTACATCCTAATAGACACACACACACACATACACACACATACATACATGCATAGTAATATTGATTAAAGTTACGATCTATGATTTTATAAAAAACAACTCTTATGTATTTACAAATCTAACACCTAAACTTTCATATTGTCTCGGAATAAAAAATGAGGTACAGATTGATTGCAGAAGGAAGAAGGAAAGACCCAATTATGAAAAAGCTCAAATTATAATAGGCCTCCATGCTCATAAACAAAAAAAGAAGCAAGTTTGTCGATTCAATACCCTTCCAACCACGAACTCATGCAGCAACTCTCCAAAATGACAGCAGGGTCTGTCGTTCAGCAACAAGGACTTCGCACACACGGAGGATGAGGGAGCGGAGGAGAGATTCGAGTGAAAGACGGCCTTCTGAAAAACAAAAATTTAACGTAGGAGGAGGATGAGGGAGCGAGGGACGATTTCGAGCGAGGAAGGAGGAATTTCGTGAAAAACGAGGATGAGGGAGCGGGGAAGAAGATCGGGAATTTTAGGGGACTTGGTTGAGGATTTCGCGAGCTGTGAGTGATGGAGTTAGGGCGAAATCGGGATCGCATACGAACATGGACCGCAACCGAACAACGAAGAAGAAGGGCGGAATCAAGGAGGGCACCTGCGTAAAATGCCAAAGGCGCTGAGGGGTCGATTCCGCGGCTGGTCGATTCCGCAGCTCGCTTTTAAGGAAATTCGCGGGCCACCGCTGCGTAACCGCTGCCCCAAACACTGTAAACATGCGGCCCCCTGTCGCGTCGTTGCTCTACCGCCGCCCCAAACGGGGCCTAAAAGAGAAGCATAATAATAAGTTAAGTGTTACCGAGATGAGAATGATTAGGCAGATAAGTGGCTTTACACTTAGAGACAAAATTAGAGAAAGTCGTCTTAGATGATTTGGTCACATTAAACGTCGATCATTCGATGATCTGATTAGGAGAGTAGATGTTTTATATTCGAATTGTGTTACCTAGGAAGACTTGGGCTTATTGTATAAAAAATAATCTTAATTTACTAGAACTAATAGGCTGCAATGGAGAAAAATGATTCATGGAGCCGACCACACGTATTGGGATTAAGGCTTTGTTGTTGTTGTTGTTGTTGCTTTTGTATTAAAATGCATATGATATACACATACGTTTCATCTACTCATATATTTAATATTTTAATTTTAAAATATATTTGTATAACACTAAAATTTTTAGATTACAAAATTAATTTAATTATTAATTTAAAATTATATAAAAATTTTTATGTATATATTTTGACAAAATAGTCAATTAAATGGAGAAGATTTCAAGTAATTATCTAACGTAATATGGGCATAATAAATTATAAAGTTATGTAACATAAAATTCTAAGAAGTTGTTAAGTACCATGTATTTCACTATGCAATCCACTCTTAATAAATGCAAATCTTATGCTAAAATCAAGTAGAAATATATTTTTAAGTATAAGAATCATAATGATTGAAGCATAAATATTTCTTTCAAGGCATGCATCTATGTACGTGTCGTCAACTACACCAGCACAACCCTATACTAAAAGAGAGACTTAGAAATATATGGATTGGTATCAGCTAAATTATGTGCCTGCAATCACTTAATCGCATGCCCTGCAACAAAGACTCGTCAAGATCCTTGATAAATAATGGGTTGTACATGAATTGGCCTATCGCGAGGGTGCTTGGTTAGCTTTATGCAGTCAAATGTGTGGCTGGTGTATAACTCGGGTCTCTGAATGAATTCTTATGGAGCAGTTCTTTCAAGTACTACGACCCGAGCATTTCTTCAAATGAATTGTCAATGTTTAGCTTTATTTGTCCATTTCAATTCACTGACTGATAATATCAGAATTTCTTATCAAGTAGTTCCTTCAAGTACCTTAATATCTTTGTTTAACTACTTGAATTCCTAATCAAGTTTCAAATTAGAGGGGTTACTATAAGAAGCTTTTCAACATTACTTTTTGCCACAAAAAAAAAAAACTATTACTATCAACCATTACATTAAAGTTTATTTCAAATCTTAAAATGACGAGTTAGAAACGAATATGAAAAGATGATAATACTTTCAGACTATGGGCTTGTTGGGAGTAGCTTATAAGTGTGAGCGGCGTTCTACCATTTGGTTCGCACATTTCGTCAGTTTATCCAAATACGGGGTTTTGTATTTGTGAAAAACACGGCCCGTTTCACACAGCCCGAGGGATGACCTCTGCAGGCCTCGTTTTTGTTCGCATTATTACTCACGTGCCCCAGTTATCGTTTGCTTCCCGCACTCCTCCGATGATTGCCTATTCACAGGCGGCACCGCCAACTCCATTGTGTATGCTTTTCTGCTAGTTTTCACAATCCTTCCCTTTCTCAGCCAACATTCTTCTGCCTTGACTCACTCCCGCTGTTGAGCCCCTCCCCTTACCGCAAAACCTCCCCGATCGCCTCCATTTCTGACTCCTCGGACTTGTCCGCTGCCTCGTAATATTCTTCAAAATCGCAAGATTCATTGTCGATCCGACAGTGATCTCCCACCAGCGGTTAAGCCGGAGGCAATCGATGATAGTGTCGAGCGAACCTTGGAGAGCAAATTGGAAGCTAATGTCGGCAACGATCTTTTCAAAGTGTTTCTCAATTTAGATGGATTTGGTTAGGTAGAATCCTTAGATTAACGTCGAGAAGAAATGGAAAACAGAGGAAGCGAAAGAAGATCATGGCAGATAAAAGGCTGGAGGAGATTGCTCTGGCTAATTCAAAACGTGCCAAAAGGTTCTTCTCTATTTTATTAAGTTTTTCGCTCTCATACACAATCATAGATTGATTTCTTGTTGTTTGATTTCAGAACAATGGCTAATCGTCACTCTGCTGCTCGTTCAAATGAAAAAAAAGGTGCGGCATGTTTCAGAGCTGGAAAGCAAAGTTCAGACATTGCAAACTAAAGCTACAATATTATCAACTCAACTAAATTTCTTGCAAGTGACTCTTCAAATTTCTTACTCTTTAAAGTTATTTATCCACAGACTGCTGCAAATTGATTGTTTTTTAAACGCACAAACCTAACAGCTAGACAACTTATCCAGACCAGAGGCAATTTGATTTCAGAACAATGGCTAATCGTCACTCTGCTGCTCGTTCAAATGAAAAAAAAGGTGCGGCATGTTTCAGAGCTGGAAAGCAAAGTTCAGACATTGCAAACTAAAGCTACAATATTATCAACTCAACTAAATTTCCTGCAGGTGACCCTTCAAATTTCTTACTCTTTAAAGTTATTTATCCACAAACTGCTGCAAATTGATTGTTTTTCAAACGCACAAACCTAACAGCTAAACAACTTATCCAGACCAGAGGCAAATTGATCATTTATCTAGAAACAACTACAAATCAGTTGTTTTCCAAAATCACAAGTCAAACTGTCAACCAGTTTATCTGGATCAACTGTTAATCAACAGCTTATCTGGATCAGTTGGCAACTGCCCCAAACAAACCCTATATCAACTTGAAAAATTGTTGTTGTTCAACCTGTGCGCGCGCGCACGCACGCACGCACGCACGCACGCAGTTTGACCGATTATATAAACCAATTACATAATCTCTCTATTTATATAAGAGAAAGTACAATGTAGCTATGTTACATTTTTACTTATACTTTAAAGATAATTTGTTCTATGTACTGTTGATATTTTACATGTATGAGTGTGATGCTCGGCTGTTCTATGACTCGGTCAGCTGAACTTTAATTTGCTTTGGGTAGGCAAGATCATCCTGATCATCTGAGGTTCGCTCGGTCAGCTGCATTTATAGATCGATTGGTTGATTATGACCTAACATTGAATTTTTGACATTTGATGGGAAGCCTGTAGCGTCCCCAGGTTGTTAGAGATTTTAGGAAACCAAATCTTATCTAGGGTCCTCCGATCATCTTTCATTCGTCCTGTAGTCCGGTCGACATTCGCCTTGTTGGTTCGGCGCGGCAAATTTACTCATTTGAAAAAGTGTCTCGTGATCTTCTGTCAGTGAGTCCTCGTTCATCATATTTTTTTCATTTGGACTATTGGATCTCCTGAAGATTACTGCTTACACATTTTTAATTGACTTCGGCGCGGCAAATTTACTCATTTGAAAAAGTGTCGTGATCTTCTATCAGTGAGTCGTCGTTCATCATATTTTTTTCATTTGGACTGTTGGATTTCCTGAAGAATACTGCTTACACATTTTTAATTGAAAATGTGAATGCCCCCAATATGTGTTACGGGCCAATTCGGGTCAGGCAGAGCCCACAACACCTGTAATTTGAAAAATTGCATAGATTCATACAACATCACCACGTCGAGCAGGCGCCTCCCATCCGACGGCTGAAATTATCTGAAACACCTCCGCCTTCGAACAATGAAAATATCTGACGGCTGAAATTGCTCATCTCTCCGCCCCATCACACCTGTAACCCACATCGAAAACCAGTTCTGGATCCAACTGTCCGTCGGCTTCCTTCATTCTCTTTTCTCCTCCTTCCACAGCTCAGCAGCAACTACGCGGCATGAATCAAACAACACTATTTGTCTCCAATTAACACCAACAACCTGAATTCTTTAATTTATCCCCACGTTCTTCCATCAATTCAGCCAAATAATCTGCGCGGCACGGGTCTTTCATCTCCTTCTTCTTCCTCCTCCCGTCGCTTTTCATCCCCGCAGCCGGCTCTTCTCTGCGATATTTGGTTCTCTTCTCTTCTCTCCAAAGTTTTGCTTTTGTTTCAATGTAATGCTTCTATTCTTCTTGATCGATTCAGTTCTATCTGAAAAATTCTTTTTTTTTTAAATAATTTTTAGGGTAGTTTGTTGAATTTCTCTCGTCGTTGTAGTTCTTTCTTAAAAGTTCGGTTTTTTTCTTTCACTGTAACGCTTCTAGCCCTCTTGATTCCTTCAATTCCATCGTCAAGACCTGTCTTTTAACCTGTAATGCTCGTATTCATCTCGTTCTATCCAGTTAAAAGATACAGATCCACTTTAATCGATCTACTTTTTCAAAAATCCCATTTATTTCAAATTGAGCAGATCGGCGGACCAAAACCGTCGATGAAGAAGACGCCGCGGCCGCTCCTTCCCCTGTTTCTCTCCCTCATATTCTCTTCCGCCGTCTCCATCGCTGTTGCCGCCGATTCCGGTAGCACTACAGCCAACACAACCTTCATCCCCCGCGACTACATCCTCCTCAACTGCGGCGAATCCGGCCAGCACACAGACTCCGATAACCGCACATGGGACGGCGATGCCGGCTCCAAGTTCTTTCCGCCGTCACCAATCTCCACGACCTCCACTGCTTCAAACCAGGATTCCTCTGTTCCTCAATACCCTTACCTCAACGCCCGCCTCTTTACCTCCCCCTTCACCTACTCCTTCCCCCTCAGCCCCGGCCGTAAGTTCCTCCGCCTCTACTTCTACCCTTCCAACTACTCCAGCCACGACGTTTCTTCCGCCATCTTCTCCGTCAACACAGGCCCCATCACTCTCCTACACAACTTCTCCGCTTATCAAACCGCCCAAGCTCTTAACTTTGCTTACCTGATCCATGAATACTCCCTGAATGTCTCATCTCCCACCCTCAATCTCACCTTTACCCCGTCAACCAACTATTCCAATTCCTTCGCCTTCATCAACGGCATCGAAATCGTCTCCATGCCAGACATCTTCTCTTCATCCACTCCCCTCCTGGTTACTGGAAGCGAAACTTTAACTCAGTACCAAATCGAGGATGATTGGGCTATGCAGACGGCTTATCGTCTCAATGTCGGTGGTCAGGCGATATCTCCGACGGCGGATTCCGGCTTGTTTCGTTCTTGGGCAGATGATTCACCTTACATCTACGGAGCTGGGTTTGGAGTAACTTACTCTGCTGATCCAAACGTTTCAATTGAATACTCGACTAACGTCCCCGAGTACATAGCTCCTGTCGATGTGTACTCCACGGCGAGGTCGATGGGACCTTCAGCTACTGTCAACCTGAACTACAATTTGAGCTGGATTTTGTCCGTCGACGCCGGTTTCTTCTACCTCGTTCGTCTTCACTTCTGCGAAATTCAGTACCCAATCACCAAAATTAACCAGAGGGTTTTTGATATCTATCTTAATAACAAGACAGCGCAGGAAGGAGGTGATGTTATTGCTTGGAGTGGTGGGATAGGCAAGCCAGTTCATGAAGATTACGTTGTGACAACTTCAGGTTCTGGAATGGTGGATTTGTGGCTCGCTCTTCACCCCAACACTGAATCCAAATCTCAGTATTACGACGCAATCTTGAACGGAATTGAAGTTTTTAAACTTCAGGATACAGACAACAATCTTGCAGGGCCGAACCCCGACTTTCTTCCAAAACCAGATGTTGAACTCGACAGAGTTTTGATTAGAAACAAAGTCTCCAACACCAGTAAGACTCCTGGAATTGTTGGCGGTGTGATTGGTTCTATAGCTTTCCTAGCAATCTGTTACCTTGCACTTATGATTCTCCGTCGAGCGAAGAAGAGGAAGGGGAAGGATTCCAGCTCCAGTGATGGCTTTTCCGGCTGGCTTCCCATTTCATTATACGGAAACTCTCATTCAGCTGGTTCAGCAAAGACAAACACCACAGGAAGCTACACTGCTTCACTCCCATCCAACCTCTGCCGCCATTTCTCCATCTCCGAGATCAAAGCAGCCACAAACGGCTTCGACGAAGCACTCCTTCTCGGGGTAGGGGGCTTCGGAAAGGTTTACAGAGGAGAAATTGACGATGGAACCAAGGTGGCGATAAAGCGGGGAAACCCCATGTCAGATCAAGGCGTCCATGAATTCCAGACTGAAATTGAGATGCTCTCAAAGCTCAGACATCGCCATTTAGTTTCTTTGATCGGTTACTGCGAGGAGAACAGGGAGATGATCCTTGTGTATGACTACATGGCCCATGGAACCTTCCGCGAGCACCTTTACAAGACCCAGAAGCCTCCATTGCCATGGAAGCAGAGGCTGGGCATCTGCATCGGCGCCGCCCGCGGCCTCCATTACCTCCACACCGGCGCGAAGCACACCATTATTCACAGAGATGTGAAGACCACCAACATTCTTCTCGATGAGAAATGGGTAGCTAAAGTTTCAGACTTTGGTTTATCAAAGACAGGTCCTACTCTTGACAACACTCATGTCAGCACAGTGGTGAAGGGAAGCTTCGGCTATCTTGATCCAGAGTACTTCAGAAGGCAGCAACTTACAGACAAATCTGATGTTTATTCATTCGGTGTGGTGCTCTTCGAGGCTCTCTGCGCGCGTCCTGTGCTGAACCCTAGTCTGCCGAAGGAGCAAGTAAGCCTCGCCGAATGGGCGCGCCATTGCCAGAAGAAGGGCATTCTCGATCAAATCATGGATCCGTATCTGAAGGGAAAGATTGCTCCCGAATGCTTCAAGAAGGTTGCCGAGACGGCGGAGAAATGTGTGTCGGATAACAGCATCGATCGGCCGGCCATGGGGGATGTTCTGTGGAACCTCGAGTTCGCGCTGCAGATGCAGGAGAGCGCTGAGGAGAGCAATGGCGAGTTGATGAGCGGCGTGATGTCGGATGGGGAAGGAACGCCGCTCATGTTGGCGGGGAAGAAGGTTGCCGATGATCCGGGAATGGATGCATCTACGACGACGATGACGACGACGACGACATCCAGTGCGATAAGCATCGGCGGCCGAAGTGTGAACAGCGAGGATTCCGATGGGCTCACGCCTAGCGTAGTTTTCTCGCAGATCATGAACCCTAAGGGAAGGTGAGAAAAATCGGTTTTTTATTGTTTGTTTGTTTAATTTTGAAATTTGAGAAAACTAAAGTCTGGATTACCTTGTTTCGACCATTTTGATTCTGAAAAGTCTGTTAGTGATGAGTTGTTTTATAAGCTATTTGTTGTTTTGAATATATATAAAGTTGCTTGAAGAAAAAACTAGGCTTGTATATGAAGAAAATATTGCATATTTATTATGTATACTTACAAGTATGGATGGAGTCATCAAGTTAAAATTGTGGTGACATAGTCACTGCATAAGAATTATGTGGTATTTATGTAAATGTCGCAAGATGTTTTGGTTGTGATGTGGGTTTATATTAATGAAGATTTGTTCATGGTAAAAACTTGCTCTCATTGCACTGGTTGTACCGTTTTTCATTGACATGTTGATGATGTTATTAACATGATTAGATGATGTTAATATGTTATTACCTTAGTTACACGTTGATAACTTTTATTAACATAGTGATGATGATGATGATGATGATTGTTAGTTTGTCAATATTATGATGTTGTTTGTATACAATTGATGTGGAAGATTTGATTTTGACTTGGGTGTGGTTTTAACCGATTCGAAAGTGACTGATTTATGATTAAGTTTTGAGGAGTTTTAATTCGAGCCCATTATTTTTATAAAATATTTTATGAACAATTGAAGTAAATCATCATGCATATATGTCTTGTTGATGATTTTTATAATTCATATATTTGGCTAAGGTTGATTCGATTTGAACTAATTTCGAGCGTGTAATTTTGGATATGAGCAAATTGATTGACTTTTGGTCAATCAAAATTTGAATAATTTTAGAATGAGTTTTGAGTTTCGGTGGTCAATTAGGAGTTATGAAAGTGAATATTGACCGTTGTTGTTGGATCTTTGCATTTATATATAAAATAATAAATTAGTGAGTTTTTCACGGCACTGTAAGATTGTTGGTGGTCTAAAATGCAAAATAGATGTAAAACTGTCTTAAACATACCCTTAAAGTGAAATAAGATTTATATTCTCATATATAAGGTGTGAAGATTATTAGCATTTAATTCAATAAATTGTGAGGAAAAAAAACCCGAACATTTTTTCCTATAACAATTGAGTACCATTTATGCTATAAATATTATGAAGATTTTATGTATATGTGATAATATATTATTTTAAGAAGTTTTCATTCTCCAAAAATCTAATATTACATATTTCACAATTAAACTTATCTATTTATATTTATATCACCTAAAAATTTAAAATAAGCTCAAAGATAACACATTCTTCTTAGAATCAATAACTCTGTTAGTCGTCCTCCACCTGTCACATGCTCCCTAGCTCGATGTGGTGGATCGTCGTTGTTCTTGTTTTCAACATTTTCGTCCCTTTCTTCTTCTCTCTCTCCCACATCGGATTTTGCATCTAGCCGCCACCGACAAGACCTCTAACTATCCCAAGCACCCAGGGGCAAAACCAATCATTTTTTTTTTTTTTTGAGGGGGGCAAATTGTCCTTTTAGACCCAACATGGGAGGGGTCAGAGCAATAAGGGCAAAATAATATTTCAAGAGGGGGCGAAACTGATATTTCAGGAGGGGCAAATGACCTAATTTCCCTTTTGTACAAGTAAGAAATTGGGAGGGGGGCTCCAAAGAGGAAACACCAGTTGGTCTGTCTCTCTCGATTACATCCCATCTTCGGGTATTTACTCTCCCCTTGCCACTTGTTTCATTAGAAGCTAACCATGACATCCTTCACATCATCAAGTGAGCTATATCTTCTAGTTTGTCTTCTTTTCGCCCCTCAAACAAGGTATTGTAAATGTAAATATTATATCACATTTCTTTGACGATGAACTCAGTGCTCAAAATGAGGTCACTGAAGTGGTGAGATTCAAGTAACACCTTATTACTGACCTGTTACAAATGTAAATAAATTTGTTTATGTGTGAAAAATATAATATTAAAGGCTTTGAGTGCTATGTATCAAGGATCTTACCTGAGCATCCACTGTTCTGGCACTCTGCGCTCCTCTGCTCGTTTCCTCGCCTCCTCTGCCCGAGCTTCTGTTAAATAGAGTTTATAACAAGGAAATGTAATCAATTGTCTATTTACCAGTTTGTCATTACTTATATATATAAATATATAACAGCTTTATGTAAAATGAATTAAGTCAGTAAGAAAAACTTATCTTTTCTTATGGCTCACAGTTTGTCATTACTTATATATATAAATATATAACACCTTTATGTAAAATTAATTCAGTAAGAAAAACTTATCTTTTCTTATGGCTCATCTCTGGCATTCATGTTTCCTTATGCTCGGCTGATCAAGATTATGATATTCGACACTATGTACTTAAATCTCTCTCACATGTCGTCTTTTCGATTGATACGGAAAATCTATGATCATATTTTGTATTTTGCTTATGTATATTCATTTTTAGCCAAGGGTGTTTTCTAATGCCCTATTTTTAATGCATTCATGTCACATATCCATAGAAAAACTCAATATTATCTTCTCTTTTATGTGTTTGGGCCATTGTTTCGTCTCGATCTTATAAATTGTGCTATTAATCGTTCATTTAAACTTTTGAGTTGATGGGTGTCCAACCATGGAACCACCATTATATAGCGCTCAATTTTGACCCTTTCATACATAATGAAATCTACATATATATCACACAAATTATATGTATTCACACACACACACACACACACACACACACACATATATATATATACATATTAAAAGAGCAACAGACTCTAATTTTATCACACAATAAAAATAAAATATAAGTCCGGGAAAAAAGTCTCAACACACACACCCTACAAATGCACAAAGAAAATAAAAAATGACCTCTCTCCAAAAAAGGAAAAAAATGCACCTCACCCACACAAAAACACAACAAGACTCCAACACACAAAACACCAAACTACAAAGCCCCAAAAAACTGCACAAAGCAACGAGTCAAAATTGAAAACAAAAACAAGGAGCAACCAAAAACCATCAATCTACTCAACACCTTTTAAAGCTAAAAGCATCATATTACGAGGAATAATCTTAGAAACATTAGCACCCTGCGTC